TGGCCGTCGGCAGGTATCTTGATTCCTTCATTGCCATATAGGTCGTGTCCTGCTGCCCTTTTAGAACCCTTAGTAAGCACTCTTGCCTCTTGGTCCAGCCTTTATATCCGGACTCTCTTATCTTGCCGCATCTCGGCGAACTTTGCATGCAAAGTTTCTTCTTCCACTTCTCATATCGGTGTTGAGTAGACCACAGGCGAACTGTTGAGACATTGTGTCGCACATAGTTCGCTTGTAAAGGTCATCTTATTCTGGTTCCAATCGATTGTCGGATTATGCTTTCAAAACCATGGCATCCCTCGGACTATCTCATGGTTTTTTAGATCTGCTATTTGAAAGGTTGCCGTTTCCCTATGGCTGTCAATGTCCATAGGTACTGTCGCCGTATGGGTTATAGGACCCATAGCGCTTGGCTTTCAATCCGCTAAGTAGACTTGTCTCGCTTTCTTCGCTTATCTGGTGTGGAGGCTGTATTTGTCACATATTTCTTTATCGATGAAGTCTTCGGTGGCCCCAGAGTTGAGCATTGAATATGTTGTTGTTTCTTTGTTTTCTTCGTTGTATATCTTTGTTTTGATCATTACGTGATCTCCATCTTCTTCTCCTCTTTGCGTGTGTAGTGCCATGTCGTAGTTTACTACCTTGATGGGTTTTCCAGGTCCACATCTTAGGTCTCCCAGACTACCGTTTACTGGGGACCCTCTTCGTTTTCCTCTGGTGAATCCCCTGCTATCATTTCGCAGATGTTGCTCCTTTTTTGATTTTGGAAACGATTATTTCCAGCAGCTCTGTTTCCTTGGTATCCGTTGTTGGGTCAGCTTCTGCATTCTCATATCCAATGTCCTGCTTTTCCGCACCTCAAGCAGAGTTTTCCATTCAGTCTTCTGGCGTATTCTTCCTTAAACAGGTTCAGAGCCAGGCCTGCTCTTGATTTGTCTAACTCCATTGGCTCGCCTGGTGGTAATACTCGACTTTCTCCTCGAATTACTTGTGGTTTGAAGGTTCCGTCCACATTCCTGAATGATTGGACCACCCTGTGAGCTATAGTGTTTTCCGAGTTGCTTCGAACCATGTTTTCTTTGCTTTCTTTATCGATTGCCCATCTTGCAAATCGTTCAGCTGTCGTATAGTGCACGTCGGAGATTCCCCATGCCTCTCGGAGTCTCTCGCTGCAGTTTCTCAGGAGGATTATGTAGAGATTAGTATCATCAAACTCGGACTCGTATTCCAATAGTCGGCATTCCTTCCAGTATGCCGAGAATGTTTGTTTTCCTTGTTGGAGATTTTCTAGCTTTCATCTTGCTGTTTCTTTAGCGTTGGGATCTCCAAATTGTTCAAAGTGTGTCGCCTTGAACTCTTCGTATGTGACCCATTCCCTCTGCTTCCTTTCATCTTGGAAAGGCATGATCCATTGTCCCGCAAGTCCCCTGAGTAGAGATTCCACATATGGAATCTTGATCTCATCATGGTGATCTCCATAGCCCTTGACGGCAAAATATCCTTCACATTGTGCTAACAATATTCGTAGCTTGTTTTTAGCTCCTTCGTATATGTCAGGCTCCTTTGCTTTCAGTCTTTGGACATTTCCTTGCCTTGTATTTCGTGTAGCTGCGAGAAATGCCTGAAACTGATTTTCAGTCATTCCAAGTATGCTGGTTCCTGGTGCCGGAGTGGCTGGGGCCGGTGGCCCAGGTACTGCGGATTCCGACATTCTCTCGGGTCGTGGAGTTCCTGTAAGTGAGCTATCGACTGGTGATTCTTTCTCTGGGGTTACTGGGCTTGCTGCTCTCGAGGGTTCTGCTGAGACGTGATTTAAGGCATCGCTGAATCCTCCTAGGTTAAGGTTTTGATCGTCGATGTCGATATCTCCTTCCCTGTCTGGATTGAAGGATGCCGTCTTGTATCGTTTAGCGTTGCACTTAGGTAATACTTTGTAATGTAACGATCCCTCTCTGGATAGTTAGTTCTTGGTAACAGGGAACGATACTTCTCTTTCTGTCTTCTTCTTTCTTTAATTTATGATAGCTCTAGGCCTCTGCCTAATTTACCAATAGTACAAGACCTTTGCCTTCTATCGGGAACGCCTATCGTAAGCTTTCTCTAACTTGTCTTCGTGAAGGACTTTTCTTGGCGTAACAATAACAGTGCAATAAAGATAAAGATCGTAAAGTTGTTTTATATTCGTTAAAGTAAAAAGTAGGAAAAGTACTTAGAACAAAGCGTGAAGAGCCTATCTTCCTCGGCCATAACAGCCTTCTTATATAGTACTCTTCCCGCCCCAAGTCATGTGACTAAAAATAGTCACATGTGCAACCACAAATCCTAACAAACTAATCATAATGCAATAAACAAGTCATATGACTTGACTGAGTCATATGCGCAAAACCCATGACCTCATAATGAGGTTATATGCTAAACATAAATTATATGCGCAAGGCTTACCCGCAAGGCACACAAGGCATACTCGCCCAGCGCACGTCCCATGACTCATACTTGAGCCATGTGCGAAAGCATCACAAATCCCACATATAACAAATCATATAACCCACATGAGTTATATGCGTAAAACAACAACATACCTGTGACTCATGACTATGTGTCACGTGAAAACCTTTTCCATGTCAAGCCATGTTCGTGACAGTCGTACCTGTTCTTTGTACACTAAAAAGATATACTGTCTACGTTGCTGTTACAATAGTACTAAAGGATGTGTAGATTGTGCGAACTTTGGTGCTTGATATGGGGGGACTAGTAAGTATTTCTATTATTACTCCTATATATTCTACCTAATACCATGTAATGTATAGATTAAGCATTAACCAATACCTGCTTTTATTTGAAAAAAAATTACAGAACTAATGAATTGATGTATCTAGATTGCTGCACATGATCACTTATGGCATCACAATCAGACTTCCAGCTTCAAAAGTCAATGCTTGTTAAAGAGATAGAACAAAGTGGTCATTTAGTCATGTTCTTTCCGAAATTTCATTATGAGATTAACTGGGTGGAATACTTTTGGGCCCAATGCAAGAGATATGCCCATGAGTATTGCGACTATACACTTACTGGGCTACGTACTCAGATTCTGGATACCTTAGCATCAGTTAAAGCGACTACAATACACAGCTGTTATCACCAATGCCTATGGCGAATTCAAGCGTTTCATGGTAGAGTCACCTATGGAACTCCCAACTATGACAACTATGTCAAAGAATATAAGTCACACCAGAGAGTATACTTTTGTGAGGAAGATTTACAATAGTCATGGTTTTTTTTTTCTTTTCACATTTTATTTTTAAGTGAAGTGGAAATGAATGGATAGGCAGGGCATGGGTGAGAGTTCTACGGAGGTGGGCAATACAATTTTCATCAGCCTAAAAGCTTAGTCCTGTGATAGTAGCCCTCAACTTGAAATTTTTCATTCTATATATGCTATCAATTCTTTCAGTTTTCTTGAATTAAAAACTAAAAATATTTCCTATTTCTATCTTTCACCATCATAGTGCTAGCCAAGGATTGCCAACGATTACCAAGGAATTTCGTTTTTATTGCAAAAACAACCCTGTTCAAATTCATGAAAAAGTGAACAAGAGGATCGGTTTCAGACATCCGGAACTATACAAGTACTGATAGCCTGTTACCCTGACTGACACAACCCCGATGTTGAGCTAAGCTTTAAGTTATGATAACTTCACCATCTCATAATATTATCATAGCTATGATATGACACGGTACAAGCTTCGATTCTGAGCGGCGAGGCTCTCTAAGCTCTTAAGACCCCAAATTTCTGTGGTCTATGGCTGATTATGGCCTTGGTAATGAATGATTACTCAACGGTCCACTCAGTGTTGGTTGATCTGATCTATCCGTCCCATCCTTGTATGATACGAATATAATTTTACATTGACACGCAGGACGCAGCATAGACACTGGGATATTATTTGTTTTAGTTGACGCGTTCAACTCTAGCGATCACTGCGGCGGTTGACGTGCCATGCGGTATACCACGGCGGGATACAGTGCAAACTTCGGTATCGCACTATTCATGCCATCCACTCCTGAAGCAGATTCCCTAAGTATCATATTTGACCAAGGTACATACAAGTAACAATTCCATCAACTACTCCGCCTTCTCTCACTCACCGACTACCTATTGATATGGCATCCAAAATTTCAAATCCACATTATTAAGCATCAGCGGCGTACGCCATGAATCCAATTCAATTGCCCTACGGTACTCCATTCTCCTTTCCACCTTCTTCTACTATCGGACACAAAACGACAACCGTCACAGCTACCAAGCCAGCTGTGACCATCAACTTCATTGATCCCTACTGCTAATCGATCGCTATCAGTCAGTTCTGAAAATGGGGCCTTTGCGTACATGTTTTCTGAGGATATCTGCCGAAGGTAATTGGTTTGTTAGGCCCTGGAAACCAGGGAATTTCTCGCTGGCAATCTTAAATGTGACCGGCTCCAGAAAGGCACCCGTAGAGAGGTTTGGAAAGATCTGTTGGATTGACGTTGCTTTTGGTTTTTCTATTTGAGCACTAGGACTAGAGTTACGAAAGCTGAGGGAGAGTTTGGTGGGGTTGGAGGGGTGGGGGACACTATCGGGCGGGCGAGGTGTGGGGGGAGGAAGGGGTTGAGCAATGCCGTTCGATTTAGGCCATGCCTGGATAGGTCGAATTACAGGTAATTGGTGTCCACTCGTCTTATCGGATAACGTTGTTTTGGGTGATACGAAGCTAGGCATCGTTATTCCCAAAAATATGTGCAGTCCACACAAGTGCCACCATACCACATGGATGGCGGAAAACCGGGCAGTTTGACTTTCATCGTAAGCCAAGACTGAAAAGGCCACGAATAGTGTCGAAGGGTTCAAGCATTGACATTACAAGCACAAATTTCGCCAAGTTTACCACAGATCACTATCTCGGCACCTATCCAGCGTTTGATGATGATATTGTTCCCATCAAGAACAGAGAAGAAAGAGATTGTAGGAAAGCTGTTTATTTGCCGCAAACCCAATTCCCCCACCCAGGCGAATTCGATATTAGCCCCCCCTCCAGTTTTAATTTTAATTTAAGATTTAATCTCTCCTTGGGGGTCTGTTCCCACCGCCGAACCTCCTGTTGTCCTGAGGTTGTTGTTGAGCCACAGGGATGACGGTGACAGGGATAGCGTCAAACTAGATATCAAGAAACTTTCAGCACAATTCTTAAATCGAGGTCCAGGAAATAGTAAAAACGTACGCCCAAGTGCTTCAACAAGTCCTTGGTTTCGGTATCAACTTCCAAGGTAGCGCTATCACTCGCAGCGTAGTCAAGAGCCGAGATATCGGGAACATATTGATCCTTCCTCTCACGCTCCTCCTCCTGAAGCTTGAAGGAGATGCCACGGACGGGACCTCTCTCGATACGCTTCATCAAATGGGTGGTGTATCCGGCGATCTGGATGCCCCTGCGGGTCAGCAAACTAACCGCCCCGAATGAAGCCGAAGAAGGCGCACCTTGTTCCTTAATCTCTTGGAAGCGATAATAGCGATCTCATCGCAGATTCGCTTGTTGGTCTCGAAGTCAAGGGTAAGCTTGGGGTAGTATCTCTCAATGATGATCTTGGAAGACTTTTTGACGGTCTTTGTGCGAACTGTTGGACACCCCACATTAGCCTGCAACCCAATTAAGGGGAGACCGGGGCAAAAACTCCGTACCGCGACCCATGATTTCCGATTTTGTGGATACTGGATGGTTAGTCAAGAGATGGGTTTCTGGTGGTCGTCGGTCGGCTGGTCGTTATGTTTGGCGTGGGAGGTTCGAAAAATTTGGGTGGTGTGTGAGGTATGGTTGTGTGGGTAGCAGAGTGGGGTTGTGCCCTAAGACTGCTTTGAATTTGTGGCTTGGCGCCTTTCTGTATTAGAATGGACGAAACCACAAGCCACTCGGACACCCCCTCACTCGGACGGCTACAGTAACTCGAAATGGTGCAACTACGATACGAAAAGACTCCTAGAAGATCAACCAATTAGCGCCTATCCGAGTGGTTTGTGGTTTCGTCGATTGCGTGCTCGGGAATGATACTCGAGTACAAGTATTTGTAATGCACGGCACTGGTAATTTACCGATATCATACAATGAAATGTTATGGGCCACTATCTAAAAGATCTAATCAGATATGTTGCACTCATCTCTTCCTCCTGTCCACAACCAAACATTGCACTTGGTATTGCTTACCGGGAATAGATCTCCATCCCCCGCCAAAAAATATGTCAGCCCTGGAAAGGCGACAGAACGCAAACGAGGAAGAGAGTAAGGTTTATAAGCGCGAAACACCGGAATGGGCCCAAATATTACAGTGAGTAAGACACTAAAGCGAGCCAACACCTTACAGGGCAAGAGGCCACACTCGATGTCTCAAGTGATGCCTTGCTACCGGTTGTTTCTTGGCACTATATGCCCAGGTTTTGCAACGTTCTGTTTCCGAGGGTACCTGGGAAGGGCCAAATTACAAATTGCTCTGCGCCTCAAGGATGCTCTGGCGCTTAGGATTTGAAGTTTTAATTCACCCACGCTTCGGCGTTATCACAGTCATGATATGTCACTCGATTGGGTGCTTTAGGCTTATTCTACAGTTAGATAACACGTCTTGGCTTGAATATAAAAGTATGGTAACGCTTACGGTACTTGTGCTCCCCGACTTGAACTCAGACGGCATAAGTGCCCTGAACGAGGGTCATAAATATTAACACTCTCCTATCATACTATGATACATTTTTCAGTCATCCGCATTCAGTCATCCGCATTCTCCCCTACAAACCAGATACGAGTATGGTACTGTATGCAATGGGTTAATACGAGTGATTCTCCACCGAGACCCTCGTTCTTGAATCTAGAACAGTCAGCCAGTGCAAGGACTATCTCGCTCACATATAATAGGGGCGAGTGCTCGGGTTAGCAATAACAAAATGTCCGTTGGAGAAGAGGAGCAAGTAATTTAATCCAGGCTCCTGCAGTTCGGGCACGGTGCTTGGCCCCTCCTTGATCGCAATTGGGTCAAATTTTTCAGGCACTGGTGATTTGGCATACGAAATCAGTTAGAGAATATTATCATCCCTTGCTAGGTGAATCAAGATATCGCACGGAACCAATAGCAAGCGCTCGAATTGGAGGTAAACAAGGAGACATTCCGGGAAGTGATTTTTCACTAACGAACTAGGATCAATATGCAGTTTTCCACTTATGTATAGTACTGTACTTACAACCTGGGGTTCTTCACTCCGTTCTAGATATGGGTGGCGGTACCAGCTTTGAACTGGCTTGAGACCAGTAGTACCGCTGTGGAGTGAAGACGCTGTGGGCTGCAGTGGAAAAACAGGTAGACTAACCCTAGGAAAAGAAATCAGTTCAGGACATTACAGTAGGAAAATGTATAACTCTGCACTCAAAGGCAGCATATTTGCCCAGAGCCCTTTATAGTGAAGGTTAGCCTTTCTTCCGTGTATGATACAATATCATCGCGGCTCGCATGATCATAAACTGTTGCGCCAATTAGGACTAGGCCTCGGATAGGGAGAAGGCGTATCTATAGGAGGGGGTCCAACTAATAGGGGTTCAAACTTTACCGCTTGGAAATTTTCATTGTCTTTCGTGTGCTATGCTTAAGTATGACGATTACTTGAAGTCGTACGCATACTCACCCCATTCAGGAGATAGGTGTGGCTTAATATATCAGTCAACGAAGTCAACAGGATGTCCGGGCAGATCCTATCCTTCTTTAGTATTCTCCCTGTTTCTTAGGGAAGGTTTCGCTCCTCCATAACTTTGAACCCTATAGGGATTCCTTCCTCAACTCTTATTATTATACCTCCCTATATTTGTTAGAAACCGGTCGTCAAACAGCTATGGAGAGAAAAGATAATGCCCAAGCCCCTGAAACCAATACCGAAAACCAACAAAAATATGCTCCCCCGCAGGGCCCCCCTCCCCCGATAGTTCCTGAAGGCTGGATTCCCCAATATGATCCAACATATCAACGATTTTACTACGTGAACCTCGCCACTCAAAGATCACAATGGGAAAAGCCACCTGGAACTGTTGATGCCTCTATAGTAGGAGCAGGTTAGTCCATAATCTATCTGTAATGTGTTAAACCAGACTCTAACCATCCATAGCATCCAACGGAGGTAGCAATGCTTGTTATCAAACTCCCCCTGCGCCAATGCTAGTATCCCAAACTTCAACCCATGAAGACCCAGCAACTTCTCATATGGGTTTCTACAATCAACAGATGGCGGAAAAGGAACAGCAAAAGAAAACAGGGTTCGCTAGCCAGGTCTCGTCGTTTTTCAAGCATGGGTCTTCTAGGTCAGAGCCACAACAGCAGAACCCGCCCCTTGTGTATTGCTCTCCTCAGGTACCTCATCCTCAGGCAGCATACATGCCGCAGCAAAGGTCCAGTGACCTGGGCATAGTTGGTTCTTTGGCTTTGGGTGCTGGAGGGGGGTTGTTAGCTGGGATGGCCTTGGAGAATGCTATCACCAACGGTGGTGACGAGAGATATGACCAGGGGTTTGTGGATGGTGCGGATTATGCCGGAGAGAACAGATATGGGGTTTCAGAGCAGTTAGAGGAAGAGAGCATCCAAGGTGAGGGGACGGACCCAGAAGGCTTTGGCGAGGATAGCTAGGGAGCTGGCTAAGGAGTAATACCGGTGCTGGAATCGGAATTAATGGTTTGCTCTTGTTTAGTTTGCGGTGGCCAAGGCTCCTAGGAACTAGTTTATGGCGTTGTTTGAGCGCAGTAGTGGAGCAATTGCGGGCTTGTTTGGGCTGTACTGTATCATATTTGATTCAATGAGGACAACCCTTAAATACCTCATGAGAATTCCCTAGGGTTCATTGGACCTTGACTTACAATAAGGTAGAGAATCACCAGACACTTACTCGGATCATCGAATCAAAAAAAAAGGGGGGGGGGACATTGTTGGTTCCAGGATAGAGCCTAGAATAGCAAAAGTAGAGCTACCGGTAGTGCTGCTGGTATCCGAGAAATATGACAGGATAGAATAGCGGAACGTTGGTCGACATGCACGATAAACCCCAGCTCGGATGAACGGTTGCAACCGTGACCCCACGCACGGGTGGCCACCTTGGTGCTATGCGGGCATAATGGTGCCGTCTCCAACCGACCGACCAGACACACCACCACAGCACACAACTACTACGATATGGCTGCACGGCAATCCACCCCCCTACCGCCGCCCCGCCAAATAATCACCTCCCTAGTCAATCAAATTAAATCCCTCCCCCCACCTTCACCAGCTGTATCTCCACCCTCCAACCCCCTTAAAACTGTCCCCGCATCAGCCCGCCAACTTTTCATGTCTGTCCACTGCCTATTGCCATCCGTGTTTCTTCCAGCTCTTGATCTCCTCGATAAATCCCTGGTAACCAGGTACACAACCGACTCCGGCAAGTCAGTTCACTACGTGAAGTCCACGCAGTCGCTGTCACGAGGGAAGTTTTCGGTTGCTGGGCCCGTGTATGAGGTGAGAACTAAGGCGTGGAGCTGTAGTTGTTCTGGGTTTGCCTTTGTAGCTTTTGGGGGATTGGGGATTCGAGAGGGGGATGGGCAGGAGGGGGGTGGGCAGGAGGGGGAGGGGGAGGGAGAGGAAGGAGAGGAAGGGTGGAGCTGGGGCGGGAAGATAAGAGGTGGGAGTCCGCCGGTTTGTAAGCATCTTGTTGCTTGCGTGCTGGCGGAGAGGTGTTCGGAGATGTTGGGGGGGTATGTAATTGAGAAGAGAGTGGGGTTGGAGGAGTTGGTCGAGATGGCGTTTTTGTGAGTAGGAGTTTAGGCTGCGGTGGTGGGAGGAGGGTGGGGAATGGCTTGGTTCGGGTGAATCTTTAATTGATATTAGAGTGGTTTCGGGTATGAAGCGTTGCGTAACTTGTTCACCGGCATTTAGTGATTTCCTTGGAGCCTATCTTGAATTGAAGCTTTAGTACAGTACCTGATTAGCTACCGACATTGGTGTAGGAGATCATGGAATAGAGTTCCTGTGCAGAGTTTGAGCTTTTCCCGAATGTCAAATACCAGTGGAGTAGTCATTGGCCGCATATAATTCGATCTTTTGATGTCAGTCAATGTCACAAATCTTACTTAACCACCCTTTTTCAACATTTTCCTCGACCCTCGATCTCCAATAACACCATGCCATGGGTACCCTGTAAGCCAAAAGATCCAGCCTTAAACGGCACTTTATCCTTAGTGCAGGGGCAATACGGGGCACATCCGGTACCTTGGCTTCTCTTATGGCGGGGACATGGAGGTACGGTGGGTATGGCTTCTCTCCAGTCTTTAGGTGGCATTGGTGGATGTCCGATAAATCGGTGACAAAACCGGAGTTCAGATTGGGCTCTGTTTGTATTCTCCTGTGTTTTCCAGGAGAGCACCCCACTGCTTGTTGCTACAGGGAATCTCTTTTCATCTCCCTTCTTTGTCCAAAAGGTTCTTTGTTTCCGCAAGCATCACTCCTGAACCTTGATATCTGGGAAAAAAAGAAGAAAAGGGGGGGCGAAAGTGCAAGAAAGAAGTGTAAAGAATCAGATGTCCTCAGAGCCATTCTGGCGTCGTTGGAGATTCCGGATACTATAGTCTGATTTTAAAAGAGTGTGTTGCAGATTGCTAATACAAAGGTGCATGTCACGGCCGCCAGAGGAATTTCTATTAATTATGATATTATTATATCTTCGCAAAGGACCTCCTAATCAACCCCTCTCCTGGAGGTGGCACCGGTGCCAAGCACGTAGTAGCAGCAGCAGCCTCATCCTCCTCCCTTGGTAGAGAGAAGACTTTCTTGAGGGAAGTTGGATAATCAAATCGCATGCCTAATGCACCTACGAAGAACTCGTTGCCGATCCGAACGTAGACATAATCTGCGTAGCCACCCCCATTCACACTATCTCCATAACTGCTCGTTTGCCCTGAGTGCAGATAAACCAATCGCCTGTGAGAAGACGTTCACTGGACGCTTCTCGGACGGAGATACTGGTGGACATTTCGAGGAAGAAGGGGATGTTTCTTATGGAGGCGGTATGGACGAGGTACCCTCCGGTTGGCATTAAATGGGGGGATCAGGCAAAGGGTGGGGAGAATGGGGAGCTTAGGAGGGTTATTGTGGATCTGAGTTTCGCTCAGCAGAATTCGGATCCGGATTATTATAGGATGATTAGTCCAGGCCTTGTGGGTGGGGCTTTGCTGGATCGCGGATTCTTCTCTTCTTATTCATATCTCCGGTTCCATATCGACAAGCTGGCTATCGTAGTTGGCCACTATTGTTACTAATACCTTTCGAAGCACACTTGTACGAGAGCAGGTGCGGATAACGTTGTGGTAGCTATCATACCTTCCCGAGGCCAATCGGAATAGCTATCATACTGTACTAGCGGTATCTGCGTAGCTGCGGACCTAGGGGTTCGTGGTTCAGTGGCTATCAAGACACAGGGAGCCGAAGGAGAGGTTCGGGTTGCCCATCCGGCGTACCGCTCGGGATCTTACACCATCCTTCCCACCGATACGAACTCGAACCCGAGGAATAGGCAGATTCATGTCCCAGCTGGGCATTGAGTGCACAGGGGGCAGATGCCTAGTTAAGACGTTTGAGGGATGGAAAGTTAGAGAGTGAGATCATTTTACTCGAGGAGAGTATTTTTAATTTTTATCATAGCCATGGATAAGGTTATATAATAAGGAGATTGGGGACTTTAAGTATCCAGAGAGGGTTGAGTTCACATATTATTGGGTCGCTTTCCTGCTAATGTCGCTGGGGATTGTGGACAGCCTTTGCTTGGCAACCTATCACTTTGTTTACACCCAGTACTGTAATAGCACCGAGAATTGAGTGCAAGAAGGACAGCTATTCTTGCTGTTCCGCTTGTTCTGTAGAACGGTACTGGTATTGCCTGTTCAAAGGGGTATTTCTCTGTTAAACAATTAAAAATTTAATTGTATCCATCATATCTACTCGTATGGCGCCCACGGCTGCCCATGCTTGGCTGAAAACTGAGCCCGTAATGGGGGCTGTAAGAGCTGATTTGTGCCGTTGGTAAGCGATTGGAATTCCTCACTGTCTAAGAGGACTCGGATTGTGGGATTCTGATATCGTGGCACCCCTATAAGCACAAGTCTTAAGTTGGACCTGCGTGACTACGGTAGGCGATAGATTCAACACAAACTGTCGTAGCCCCGGTAACTTTTCTGTCTTGCACAATACAGCACCGTAATGTGGTGTAATTTACTTAAATCCCGGCACCAATAGTTGTGCTTCATGACTATTCTCAGCATACCTAATAAAAACTTCCGAATCCGAGTACTTGATCACAAATACTTTTAGTTTAAAGGTTCAATTTTAGCAGGAGGGATAAGCTCGTCCTAGAAGAATTGCTGTAGGGGATTCAACAGTATCCGAACCAAAGATTAACTTGATATACTAGCACCAATGTCCCTAGATATCGCGGCAGCCACCACAAATACTGCCTTGAGTGATGGTCCCTGGCATTGAATAGCTAGTATGGATTAACCTTTAATGGGCTTAACTACCATAATCGAACGTGATGTATCGTAGGAGTACTTTATACCCCTCTGCTACCAATTTTTGTTTGGATACTTTTGAATTCCTGCGACACCCCTGCCGTACTATAATGAGGCTTCCATACCGCTACTTGTACAAGTATGAGTACCGGTAATTGCCAAGCAGACACAGTTGCTTTACAGTGCAGGATGATAAGATCAGGTTAGATAACACGAATTTGTCTCTCATGTTCATCTTTTCCTCGGGTGACACCAAGTCAGGTGTGGCAATGCCGCCGCCACCTCTTATCCGGCAGCAAGGGCGTCTGCAGTCGATTGGGGAAAGAGAATTTCGAAGATTTCTTTTCTAAAAATCAATTTTTCAAGCTCTCGAGACCTAATCTGCTGAAGGAGCCATAGAGAGCCCGCTGACCGGCACATCTGTGCTGGGACACGGACATTGACTTACCCCCCCACCGTTGTTAAACCCCTTCTGGGTGATACAGTGCAACGATTCTTCTCTTGCACCTCCGCACTCCAACCGTTCAAACACGGGACCAGCCTACAATCACCCCTGACATCACGCTCTCATCTGATTCGGATCGGACGGGATTTACCTTTCAAGTGTTCACAAACTCACACGCGTTCTCAATCCCTTATACACTTTCGTTTTGCTAGGTTATCTCGAGCATGAGTGGTTGGAGGGGTCCAGCAAGGGAAAGAAGCCGCGAAAGTTCCCGTCAATACCATCATTCAGGTGAGAGAGAGAAGAAAAGAGAGTACGACCGGGGCCATAGCGGAGGTGACGAGCAGAGAATAGACAGGTATCGAGATTGGGAGCGACCTCAAGGCAGTGGACCGCAACAGCCACGCCATCCCCATCATCCCTACAGCGGACCTGGTAGATCGAGAAGGGCTTCGGGCGGCGGTTTTCACCAAGAAGACCCCATCCTCGAACATCGTCGGGAGTCAATCGGCGGTGCCAATCAGACACCGTTTAGCGATACGGCTCGTCGGGGCTCAGCAAGCTCAGCTGCCTCGAAAGCGCAAGATCCGTTGCACGCTTCCCCTAGAGAACGGGGAATGATCGAACAATCTGGACACAAACGAAAACTAAGTCCTGGCTGGGCACGCGGTGGGGAAGCGACGAAGTTGCGCGGGGACCCTGATAACAGGCGCAGTTCCTACGAGCGACCTGACCCTCCTTCAATTGCTGCCTCACCCCACGACCCACCACTTCACTCACCATCCATAACAACTCCAAAAACACCAATGATTTCCTCGAACAACCCACGCCCGTCCGATCCACGTCTCGCCGCAGCAAGCACGCAGAAGATGCCTAATAGCTTCGCCAGGTAATTTTTGTTTTTAATTTTCAGGTTTAAGCTATCGATTAACTAATAGTGATGCTGCGGCGTTAGTATCTTCCAAGAGGCAGCATACGCATTTATTAAACGCGAGGATGCAAGAGAGGCTCATAGTAAGGCCGAGGCTGATCGTAACAAAGTAGCTGAATATTTCAACGCGTTTCCAGTAATGCGCGATAGATACGAGGGGCGTTTAGAGAATACACGAAAGGAGCTTGCGCGAGCCAATAGGGGTTTGGAGATCAAATCCAGGCCTTTGGAGACTATATGCCTTGAGTTTGCGAGGGAGAATTGCGCAAAAAAGGAACTAGAACCGATGGTACCATTTCTTCGACAACTCAGGCACGAGTTTGGGACCTCCGATTCCCTTGCACAATTCCTAAAATCATCCCTATCACCTTCCACAAATCTATCGCAGCCTCAACAATCAGCTGCCAAGCCTGATGAGTTGCAGAGGCTCAGTAGTGAGTTGGCAAACTTAAAGAAGCAGCAGGACGATGAGGCGAAACTCCGCCGAGAGCTCTCTGGAGACTTCCGTGAATACAAAGATAACTCAAGCAAGCGTCTCAAGACTTGTGAAGACAAATTGGAGGATGTTGAAACTTCTCAACGAGACCTACGGAGTGAGCTCGACCAAACAAAGGAAGAGATGCGTAGGGTTGTCGATGATATTAGAGGGGTTCAACAGTCCTTAGCTCAGCTTCAAGAAAGCAGTACTAAGAACACCCAGAACTCCGTGCCTACTGCCACTGGAGCCAACCTGAGTTCGGATGTTGCAGAGGTAAGTATCGGTCTCGGCGAATTTTGTATTCCTTTGAATTTCTGCTAACGTTCAGTAGATCAAAAGGGTTGCACAGGAAACCGTTTTAACACTCGTGAGCCGTTGCGAAAATCTGCAGGAAAAATATCTGCAATTTGAGACGAGAGTGAAGGAACTGGAGTTGAAAATTGATAGTATCGACGCCAGCCCTGTATCTTCTGACGCTATTGCCCGACTCGAGAAGCAGTTGAAAATCCAAGATGAAACCATCGACAGTATTAGACAGAGTGCGGAAAACGATACTGAAATTATGATGGAACAATTCACAACTATTGATGCCAGCATTCAGGAAAACAAATTTCAAACCTCTCAGCTCTCGGCGGACTTGGAAGAGCAAAAGGCAGTAATTAGGAATGGGATGGGTCAGGATAAGAATGCTTCGGAAGTCCAGGCAATCCTCGGCGAGCATAGGACGAATATCAATACCCTGAAAGCGGAGCTCCAAAATCTCATAACCAGGCAGCATGATTATGCCTCCAAACTTCATGACTTGGACAGAAATTTTTCAACTATCACGCCCAAACTTTCGAAGGAAATCGAAGCCACTCAGACAAAGTTGGCAAAATGGGAGAATAGCTTGGACGGTTGTCTTACTGCTGTCGCACACTTGGATCAGAAAATGTCTGCGTTTACAACCAAGGATTTCTACGAAAGAGTTGTTTCATCTCTTGTTGCCATCAATCCGTTGCTGTTCAACACTACCGGCCAGCTTCAACATATGCTTAACGAGAACAAGAAGGTTTCCACCACTGTTCAAAGGTTATTGGTAGAACATCAACAAAATCAAGCAAGTGAACCTACCCAGCAGCAACAACAGTACCAGCCCCGGCAAGGGGCTCCAGATCCATCCTCAACCAACACCGAAGCCGCAAACGGGACTGCTAAACCTGGGGAAGCTGTGCCATCCGAGGGACCTGGGTCTTTATCTCAAGCCCTAAAGGATATAGAGTCCCACACCCGGGCCCTTGAGGAACTCACTAGGCGCGTGGATCAGCACATTGAAACCTACAACGGCAAGATGAGCGACATTCGCGAGTGGACTATCATTGCAACCAAGAAGCTCCAGGAGAATTCGGATACATGCGGTGATATGGCGAGGGAGGTCAACCTGATACAAGCTTTTCTCAATTCAGCCAATGAAAGCGCACCCCCCGCCGGCTCTGGACAGAACCAATCTCAGTGGCGCGCCGTGAGTGCCTCCACGGCACCGCGTAACCCTGGCCTCGAATCTGATGTGCAGTCTGAATAAGAGGATACTGGAGATGAAAGCTCTTAATACAGTGTCTTATCTTCCTCTAACAGATCCGTATTCTGCTTCTTGACGAATGGGGGGAAAAAGGAGAGGGGATATTGCTTTTCTTAGTCTAGTCTTTCTTCTTCCCTTTCTTGTTTTTCCTTGTTTTTCTTACCTCGCTTCTTTCCTATGCTTCTCTACCCCGCAATACCTTACAAAAGTTTCCGCCTCATCTCGTTTTCCCTCTATAAGCTCTTCGGGATCCTTTTAAACGCAAACTATACACAATCCATGATAGCGACGTTATACCGTCAACTTCCTCCTCATTGTCGCTTACCTTTTGCTCATTTATTCTTCCCCCTCTTCCCTTTCCCTACGCTTTTCCAAGCGTTCCAAGATATACCTGTATTAATTTCTTTTACACCGATTCACTCCTTCCCCACTTCCCACTTTCACAATTGGCATAACTCTCTGTTCTTGTAGGTACCATAGCTCGCTCCTTCTTGCAACATCTTTTACTAAAAAAAAAAAGCTACCAATCAAGAGTGACCAGCACTTCCATTTTCTCCCCATTTTCTCTTTTCCTTTCACACTGTCAAGTTTTGTTTTTCCGGTTTCTACTCTATTCGATTGGATAGGATGGGGGTTTGGGGGCGTTTGTTCACTTTGCTTTGTTTTTGCGTGGGTTAGGTTGGTTTTTTTTCTTCACAAATATTTCGTTCAGTATGATACAATACGTTTTTTCGCGAGTTTGCTAGGGTATGGTTGGGAAAGTACTCGTACGAAGTATAATGTTCTGAGCCCTGAAAAGGGTGTTTTATACCACACAGAAAGGTGGCGTAGGAGACAATGTGAGAAGCGGGTTTGCTCTCGATTCCTTGCTCCTATATTTGTTGGGTGGAGCACTCTACACCGCAGGTATCATAGTACGAGTAGGTTAAGTATGATCGATACGGGTATATCTGCGAATCGAGGATATCGTGAGATGCTGAATTTGTCGAAATTGTCATTATATCATACTCGCCCGGCTGTGTTCTCGCTATGAGTGAATGTAGCATGAGTTTCCCTTGCCTCGTTGGTTTGGGTAACTTGATCGTTGTTTAGAGTTCTCAAGCGCTGCAGCTGATTCCGAGTCTCGTATCATAACAAACCCACTGCTACATAAATCTCATTTTCTTTTGATATCATACAAAAACCCATTTTTTTGTCACTTCTAGCTTGCGACACCACACCGGTATCATATACTCGAGTACCACTACCACCGCCACCACCCAAATAATATGGTGATGGTAACCGCGGGATAGTACGGTAAGGTCGGTACCAGCACCAGGTCAAAACGTTTCGTCCGACCCAGGCTTTACACCAAAATTTGACACTTTCAAACAGACAATTACCCACGCTACCTTCCTGAAAACACCTTAAATTAATCTATCAGTTTGACAATCACTACTTGTACCTATTTAAATCACTTGAACCAGAACTGCGTGGGATCAAAACTGTGTGCATTATTTACAATTGCGTTGACTAGTGTATCATAAAAGTGACCCAAAATTTTGTATGGGACTCCATACAAAAAGGTACTATACATTGCAACCAATATGATACCTCACACTGAATTCACACTTTCTCAGCCAATTTATAATTTTTAGGAATTTCACAAAATTTCCCTTTTTGTCTACAGGCTTATTGATGCTCTGCCGAATTTTGGCAGGTTCTTATGGCCAGTGTGCTCTGGGGGAAGGTGATGAAAGTGGCAAATTTTGGTGTAAAAATGGCATCGAACGAAACGATTTGACCTAGTACTGTACTCGAGTATTTTAGCAGTTGTTGCACACCGTCAGGAATCCTGAACGAACAAAATAGACAACCGAGATTGTATCTGCCCCGAAGCCATCACACTCTCCCGAGTACAGAAAGTGAATCAATCACTGCGAGTCGTAAAGGGCGCTTAATCGGATGCACCACAGTTACTAATAACGGTACGGCCCTGGCGACAGTGACGGAAGGGGTGTCGGAGGTGTGGAGCAATACCGGCACCCAGGCTTTATGAACACGACACAGCAAATCGCGGTGACTTATCGCCAGCGTACCGTAGGCGACAGGAGTAGAGAGTGCATCGAGGTGGGGGAATCTCGGGTTTACCTACCAGCCCAGCCCAGCCCAGCCCTGTTCGATTAACATTCCCGTTCACCGGACTTCTGGCGGTCAGGCGAGTGATTCCTCGTGATGACGCGTAACGTATCCCCATCCTGGAGAGTGTATGGGATATCATACTGGTAGCTGGGTTTCTGGGTGATGGCGACATCCGTGTTGTTCCCCTTTCTCTAACCATATCCGCAGCGAATGCCGCACAAGGACGAGAGGTTGGTCATCGGTTCTGTTTACAACTGGGCAATTCTGGGAAGAGGACTGGGTGGGGTCGAGGCTCTGCTTGTGGTTGGTGGTGCATACTCCGATAGATTTGGTCGTTCACGCTCATTAGGGATGAATGAATGGGGGAATGGTAGGGGGAACTGCTACGATGGGACTTCAATTGGGGAATGGAGTGGGGGGTGTTGGTGGAGTGTTTGTGGGGAGCATATCCATACGAGTAAAGGAAATGAGAAAAAATATCGGTTTTTGTGGTTGTATGATATCATAATATTACTTGTATCAAGATACTATATGGGTAGCTGGGCGTCGGTGATAGATTAGGTTTACCATGTCTGTTCCATCCGCCTCGCATCCACCCCACCACCCCACCACCCAATGCGGCTCAAGCAGATCGCCAAGAACAATACCATCCACCAATCTACGAGTACTGTGACGGTACAGTACCTGTAGACTATCCTGCCCACCACCAAATACAATATCCCACGGCGAAAAGGGAAAGAAAGGAAAAGAAAAAGAAAAAAGCATGCCACCCCAATCCCTCCACCACCGCCGAACCCACAACCTCCTCCTAATCACCCGCCTCCTCTCTGCGTGACGGGGTATCCCCATTCACGCTACTACTAGATTCCCTCTCGCAGTCGGCGCGACCGCTGCTGCGAGAATACATCCGGCGCCAGCAGAGCGGTGCACGGGTAGTGTTTGTTTCCTTCGAAACCGCGGTAGCGCCGGAGGGCGTGAGCGTATTTATTAGGGCCAGCATGAAGGAATTGGCCAGTTTGCAGCGGGAAATTGGCGGTGCCGCTGGTAGTGGCAGCGGCGGTACTCGTTCGTCTCCCCATCTGTCCGGCCTGCAGGGGCGGGAGGAGGAGGACTAATTGGCGGGGTGATAGGAACGTTGTTGATATTGGATAGCTTGAATACCCTGTCGACTGTACACCCGCAGTCTCTCACGCTATTTTTATCTTCGCTTTTGACCCCTGGGATGGTGTTGGTTGGGGTTTACCACCTTGATCAACCCGTACCTTCCTCCTCCTTCTCCTCCTCCTCCTCCTCCTCGACTCATATAGGTCCGCAGCCACTCACGCTGCTGAAATATCTCTCCACAACACTCTTAACGACTCACTCCCTCCCGCATGTCCTCCTCCAGAAGCGGCACAAGGACGTGTCCCTCCCGCCGCCAATATGGGGGCTTGATGAGGGCGTGGAAGGAGTTCTGGTTGGGCTGGGGTCGAACGCAGAAATGGTTGTTGAAATGGAGTACAGGAGGAAGTCCGGACGGGCTGTGGTGGAGTGGTTCGTTATAGGAGGGGGGCAGGGGAAGGGCGGGGTTATCCTTTTGGAGGATCATCCGCTTTGGAGGGTTTCTGAAGGGGTTAGGAAGGGGGAGGCTGGAGAGTTAGAGGAGAACAACGGGATTGATGGAATCACGTTTGAACTGGGGATTACGGAGCGGCAGAGGAGGGTCCGTGAGGAGGTGCAATTGCCGTATATGGATGCTCAGCGGGAGGGTGGTATTGGTGGGGGTGGGGCTATATTGTTCACGCCGGAGAAGGAGGCGGATGATTTTGATGAGGAGGAGGATGAGATTTAAGGTTTAATACGATGGGAGGGTTGATTGGTTTGGCGCTTTTGTGATATGGTAGAGGGAAGGAGGCTATCTGACATCCCCCGCGTACTAGTGTGTGTGAAAAAAATAGAATACAGGTTTATTGAGTATCCATTGCGTCTCCTTCTTCATCTGCGTCCGGATTCTCGGCTTCTCTCGCGCGCCTTGCGTCAAGGGCTTGCTTCCGCAGCATCTTGTAAATATCTCTCTTCAGGTTTATGGTCTTCGCCTTTAACGTCCCGACTGCGGAAAGGAATATCTCGTCCGCGTCGAACTGTCCGGTTGATTCCACTGAAACTGTTCACCCGGGCCGATCTATTAGCCACCTGTTTCCGCTCATGAAAGAAAACTGAACAACCTACAAATAAAATGATCCCTAACCCTCCCCAACTCCACTATCCCTTTAAATTCATCATGCCTTAATACCTCCCGGGAAACAGTATCATTCCTGACATTATCCACAACTGCCTCCTTCTCCCCGTCCTTCCTCTCCCGGATGGCAATCACACCTTTAGGAAAACAAGCAGCAAACCTCTCCGCAGCCTTACCGCGAATCGGTTTCTTGATCTTGATATCCGGCAAAAGCCTGTAACTCGCCGTAGCCACAGGGGAAAATTTAGCATGGTCCTGGCCGATCCCCTTAATGCAATGCATAGTTAGATCGATCTCCTGCCCGGGTCGGAGTTTCGCAATGAGGATGTCGGGATTGGCAGCGCGGACGGGGTCGTGCGCGAAGGACTTGATCTGGCGGCCGGCAGGTTCGAAGAGTATGTCCGAGGCGTAAACATTGTGGTTTATGTAGAGTTTGTCGGGGTCAGTGTCCGTCTTTTTCGCATCGGGATTGCGCTCGCAGGCCTTTTTGAGGTACAGGACAACGGTGTCTTCGTCAGTTGGTTCGCGGGGAGCGGAGTCCTCGCCGCCTATAGTTCGCGTGTACGCATTAGTCGTAATTAACTTCCGGAGGAAGACATTATGGGGAGAGGTGGAGGGGGAGGGCGTTACGCAGGTACCAAGACAGCCCCTTCAGCGCATCCTTATCTCCGCACAGCGGGATGAGGCCCAATCTGTGCGCTAGAACTTCATCTTGAATTATTGAAGTGTTGTTACTGACGTAGACGCTTTCGATCGCGAGTGTTGGCACCTCCGCAATCATGATCCTACGGAGGGTGTTTGCGATTGCGGCGTCCGTGTGGATTAGGTCGAATTGGGAGAAGAGGGGGGTGTTGCGGAAAAATTTAACTCTGAAGGTCTGCTCCCTGGTGTTAGTGATGAGGAGGTAGGGGGCGGGGGAAGGGAGGAGGACTCTTCGAAAATGCTTGATGTTCCATGAGTGGTCTTCGCCGGGCCAGTGACCGGGGAAGTCGGTCGAGGAAACATTGGTTACAGTTTCGGCTTTGACGCCGACAATCTGGATGTCTGTTAGTTGGGATTAAGCGGGGATATTTCATTGTATGGGGAGGTACATTCCGGCGGTTTGAGGCGGCGGGCATTGGTCGGAGGTTGATCAAGTTAGTCGAGTTATGATGGTGAGTGCATGAGTATGTGGTGGGTTGGTGAGACGATGGTGATAGTACTGCAGGGATAAAACGTCTTTTTGAGCCGCAAGGCCAAGTGGAATGACGGCCAAGGATGCCAAGATGTGATAATACTCGTATGAGGTATGGCAAGATGGGTCATAATTTAAAATATCGAGTCAGATTTTGTAATTACGAGAAAATTTTGAGGAGCGTTTAACTGGGTTGTTTGATCTCTTGTGGTCATACTGAGAGGGAGTCGATGGATGTTCTGTTTCTCTCCCTCTTTTCTCTTTGGCCCCACTGCCTGGAGGTTGGTGGTCTTGAGTAGAGTCAGTGCCCGTAGGGTGTTCGAGTGCTGTACCGCCCTACTGGCGCGGATCCGCAAGTACTCGTAGCTATCAAACCATCAGCAAACTAGTCACCAGTAGAAGGTCCATCACCAGGAAGAATATCGATATCCAAGGTATGATAAACCATTAGGGTCCTCAAGGCCACACCGCCCCCAGAACCTCCCCACGGTTGGAGCAGGGGGAATGGGGCATCAGTCAAGTTGGGGCAAATTACACTCTTCTCAAGTTCGCGTTGATCACTATCTTTCGAAAGTGGGCTGACGAAGTGTCGACCTTGAATGGGTCGCCAACTCGATAGTGTTTCCTACTTTTCTTGTTTTCTACAGGAATGTCTGACTACGCGTATTGGGATATGATATGATATCCTGGCTTATTATAAGACTGAGGGAGAATTGAAGGGAAAAAACGGAGTGAGGGGTTGTGCCGGGGGTGGCCAGGTTCACGGGTTGTCACTTGTGAAGCTTCCGGATTATGGATTGGTTCTTGGGTGTTCTGGGGGATGAGATTGGAAGCGCAGTGCCTTTGGTCCTCAGAGCTCCCCAAGAGGTTGGTGGAATGGGTCTCAGTTGTAAAGCCTAGTACTATAATTTATTACCAGTTGGGTAGGGATACTTTCCAGATTCTGTTTTTTCCTGTGATATCCAGGTCTCTTGCGCGCAGCATCCGGGTGACTATGGGGTATACTCGAGTGCTCAAGTAGCGGTCGCTCATACTTTCTAGTGTAGCAACTTGCAAGTCACCGATAGATGTTGTATGATAGCGACCCTCGTGGTGGCAGAGGACTCTTAGGGGGTGCTTAGCATACCAACTTTTGTAAAGTAAGACCTTACAAACTGTGGTTTATAAGGTTTCCCGAACTGCATTTTGTACCATAAAAGCTCCTTATGATGTTTGTCAACGCATACCCTGTATAAACTGTAGTTTGGCATATGATATGACATGATACCTTATGATATCATAATAATATTATTATAACGCGGGGGATAAAAATGAGACTTTTTGGGTCATATCATACCCTGAAAAGGTGAGAAAATGTGTGGTAAAAGCAGTCCAAAGGTTTCTTAAACCCAATGTTGCTGTGTTTTTTTCAAATTGCATTATAAAGCGTGCAAATTCCGCCTTTCAAACGAGATGCTGCCAAACACTCCAGACCTCATCATACGAATTTTGTCGTACCAATCACCTCCTTAACTCTCTGCATCTATCCCTCCTGCTCCCCTGTCTCCTGAAAACGACAACATGATTTACTGAAACCATAGCTCACTTTTCCCCTTGGCTCACTGTGACTGCAGGAAATCCATGATTTCGAAAAAACGTGGTTCTGTATTTTGATTACCGCCGAGCAGCCCCCATTCTTTACACCCAATCAATAGTTCGAGGAATACCGGTACCCTATGGGCAAAATAAAACACAACTGGGAAACAGTGGGTGATATTCCATGATGCCAGTTTGGTATGATACAAAAAATCAAACATCACGCCACCACCATCAACCAATTGGGGGGGGGATTCTATCCGCTCCCGAGGTGGCCGTCTCGATGCTTGGGCTGTGACGGTTTTGTGTGTTCGTTGTGTCTGGCAAAATATATTGTAGACCCCGCCACCCTGCCAGGCTTTGGTTCCTGGGTCCCTGTTGTGCTAATTAGGATTATAGTATGATACCAAGTTTCGGCAGCGAGCCTTCCCATGTGAAGGCTGCTGGGATTCGAGATGTCTCATCTGGAGGGAGTGGATTTGTATGCGGTACCGGTAGTTTGTGTTCTAGTAGACTTTCTCTTCTTTCTTGTTTGTAGGAGACTTTGAAGTTTTGTAAGGTTAAGAGGATGGTGGTGTCGAGGTTTCACAAGGCTACAACGGGGTAACCGTAGTTGTGCTGTAAATTTATTTATGCAGTATCTATCCCGACGAGTAATAACAATCTTCAAGTTACATACGTTCCCTAGATCTTGACGAAGACGGTTTTAAATAATTTAAATATTTTGTAGGATGCCTTGGTGCCGGTACCATACATTATTTAATATCGCCAAGTTTCGGTTACCACAGCTGTGATAATGTTATGGACTTGTACTGTATTTGTTTATTTGCGAGTAAGGTATGAGGAGGGGGAACGAGTGGCAGGCACAGTGTGTTCACCTGCCGGTGATGTTGCTGTCAGCTAAACGGCACATGCCATCTTGATCGAGTGGTTTGAAAGACAGGACCTGGTGACCTCATCCCTTCTGGCTTCCTCGTTGTACAGTAATCGTCCACCTCGCCTTTCCATCCCCCCCCGCACCCCCGCACCCCGCACCCCCGCCATTGGTCAGTTGATTGGAGAAAGATGTGGGAGAATCGCTCTCCCGGTGGTATATTTGAGTGATAATCTTCAAGTCGAGACGTTTATGGATGGGAGGATGAAAGGATCTGCTCGGGTATGATTACTGGCCAGTGGAACTTGCAATTTGAGTGCCCGTTTTTGGCATAACTCTCCTCCCTTCGCCCGCGATTACTGTAACAGGCCTTCTTCCCCACCAATACTCGAGTACTGAGTCTGTCAACTTTATTGTGCTCTACTGTACCCATCACCCACCTTCAATATTGTCAGGTCTCCGCACTCTGGTTCCGATTTCAAGCGCCCGGATCACGGGTGTTTTCTTCCACTGGTCCGAGATACAGGGACTCCGCCAAACCCGGGAGGGCCTGAACCGGAGGGAAAAGAAGAAGAAAAAAAAGAACACTAGGTCTCTGGCTACTCTCCCTGTCTACTTAATCTTATGGTTATAAGGTTAGCCCTATATCCCCTCGCATTCCTCTTGTTTTTAAAAGCTCCCTCGAATTCTACTCTCTACACGTGGTCTTTGTTTTCTTCTGTTTGGTCGTCTAGAATAAGCTATTGTTTCACTGCGAATTCTGGAAGAGCTAACTGTACAAAATGGCTCCTTCTAAGATCGCTAGTCTAGCTACTAAAGTTATCACCATGCCGAAATCCCTTAGCGAGTCGATCGCTTCGGGCTCACCTCAAGAATCTGGTGCTTCTTCGGTGAAGGAACCCACAGCAGGGCAGCTATCGGCTGGGGATGTGAGGCCGGGTGCGACTTACGCATACCAGGACCAGCTGCAGAAGCTACCCATCCCGGACTTGGAGAAGACATGTCGGAACTATCTGGAAGCTGTTAGGCCGCTGCAGACATATAGGGAGCATGTGGAGACAAAGGCTGCTGTACGGGAGTTTTTGAAGACGGATGGTCCGGAGTTGCAGGAGAGGTTGAGGAAATATGCCAGTAGCAAGAGTAGTTACATTGAGCAGTTTTGTGAGTTTTATTCCGCAGGCTTATCGCAGGATTAACAGGTCTCTTGTTAACATTTTCTTTAGGGTACGATTCTTACCTCAACTATGATAACCGTAAGTTTTCGTTTGTGAGCAAGGGTCGAGAGAGAACTCAAGCTAATATTACCATAGCTGTCGTTTTGAACTTGAATCCATTGTAAGCTACCTTCACAATACCTCTAGTCTAAGACTGAAGGAGTTCAGCTTTCTCTTGGAGGATGACCCTACGCCAGCAAGGAACAATCAAGTCACCAGGGCAGCATCTCTCGTTGTTTCCTCTCTATCTTTCGTAAGGGCTCTACGTAAGGAAGAGCTACCACCAGACGAATTTCGTGGGACCCCGCTGTGCATGGTAAGGCACCCTGCATATGAATTATCTGGGACAGGACTCTGGGATTTTCCCTCGTGAAATAATCACATGTGCTAATAAATCACGTGACAGTACCAATATCCCCGGATTTTCAGCACAGCTCGGATTCCCACGGAAAATGGCTGTGTCATGCAGTCTGACCCGGATGCTCGTCACATTGTTGTTATGTGTCATTCGCAGTTTTACTGGTTCGATGTCTTGGATGATAACTCGGATATCATCATGGCCGAGAGGGATGTCGCACAGAACCTCCAGGCTATTGTTGATGATGCTGCAACCACACCGATTCAAGAGGCTGCCAAATCCGCCGTTGGAGTACTTTCCACTGAGAATCGAAGAGTATGGGCGAGTTTGAGAGAGGTTTTGACTAGAGATGGAATGGGAAGTGACAATACTGAGTGCCTGAGGATTGTCGATACTGCCTTGTTCGTTCTTTGCCTCGATTCAACATCTCCTAAGAGCGGTGCTGAATTGAGCATGAACATGCTTTGCGGGACTAACGTTGTTGAGAAGGGTGTGCAGATTGGCACATGTACCAACCGTTGGTATGACAAACTACAAATCATTGTTTGCAAGAATGGATCTGCTGGAATCAATTTTGAACACACAGGTGTCGATGGACACACTGTTCTGAGAATGGCGAGTGATGTCTATACCGATACAATTCTTCGGTTTGCCAGAACTATCAACGGTAATGCTCCTAGCTTGTGGGCTTCCACCTCTCCTGACCCGAGAAAGCGTGATCCGGCCAGCTTCGGTGACGTCTGCACAACCCCTCACAGACTTGAGTGGACTATGGTTCCGGAACTCTCACTCGCTCTCCGCTTTGCAGAGACTAGGTTGGCCGACTTGATTCAGCAGAACGAGTTCGAAGTTTTGGAATTCGAACATTACGGAAAGAATTTTATCACATCCATGGGCTTCTCACCCGATGCATTTGTGCAAATGGCGTTTCAGGCGGCGTACTACGGGCTTTACGGCAGGGTTGAGAGTACTTATGAGCCAGCTATGACGAAGATATACTTGCATGGCCGTACTGAGGCGATCAGAACCGTTTCAACAGAATCAGTCAATTTTGTGCGAAAGTTTTGCGAGAATGCACCCGCTGCTGAGAAGATTGAAGCGCTTAAGAAGGCTTGCCAAAAGCATACAACAATCACGAAGGAGTGTGCGAAAGGATTAGGCCAAGACAGACATCTGTATGCGTTGTTCTGCGTTTGGCAGAGAGGCCTGGATGAGGAGCCCCAGTATACCGATGGCTCTCTCAATGGTATGAGCAGCGACGGATACGGATCCTCCCCGATTGAGGGCAGTTATGAGCAGAGCCCACCAAATAGAGGACATTCAAGAATCTTCTCGGATACCAGCTCAATTTCTGGGTCCGCTAGAGACCAGGGACAGAAGCCTCCTCTAAATGTCCCAAGCATCTTCTCAGATCCAGGATGGGATAAGATTAACAACACTATCCTAAGCACCAGTAACTGCGGTAATCCTAGCTTGAGATTGTTTGGGTTCGGACCTACTAGTGGCGATGGCTTTGGCATTGGGTATATTATTAAAGGTGATAGTATTTCCATTTCAGTCAGCAGCAAACACCGGCAAACAAAGCGATTCGTAGATACCCTTCAAAGTTACCTCTTGGAAGTGCGACACATGCTTCGACAGACCCAGCGTCGCGCTGCTGCCTCTCCCACCAGAATTCGGGCGAGAGAAAATGAAGAGCCGGCTGTTGATACAACCCGCCCACCGTTGATGACTACGAGGATGAAAAGCCGTTCAGGAAGGGCCGTTGAAACAACGAGACAGCCTGTTCGTGCTAGAGACGGTGATGAAAGTGCTTCAACGACTAGTAGAGAGGAAAGCGATGGGGAGGGGGGAATGCTCGGCGGCTATGGATATTTTGACTCCGGCAGTGTAAAGCACTTGCTTGATAACGAAGTCCATCGAAAGCCAGCAGAGAAGACTGCGTCAAGAAGGGTAGTTGGGAGAAAGTTGAGGTTGGGAGAGTACTAAAGGCTTGTTCCTTTCGGGTAGTCAGCGGGGGCGGATGTATTCTATCGATTGCTGTATGACTGTTGGGTTTGTGATATTCGGAGTAGGGGGGTGGTGTGGGTTTTTGTTTTATTGACGCGTTTTGTTTGCCTTGAGCGAATTTGTCCCCTCTCCTTTGGTCATTCGTTGCGTGTCAAGACACTTGTTAGAAATGAATGATACCACTTGTTTTGGCTTCGTTTTGGCCGTGGTAGTTTTGGCATCGGTTGAAATATGTATTGCATTAGGGCGAAATAGTTTTCCGTTTTCTATGGAATGCGCAGAAGGACTTTTTAGACTATTCTTCGGTTACCGATACTTGGGCTTGCTACGGTGTCAGTTGAAAGCTTTAGGTTGGGCCATAGGTGTCCAAACCTTTCTCGTGCTAAACTTTATTATAGCCTACGTGGTATTGTGTAGGTATCGTGAAAGCGCCCTACCGAACCATGGCTATAGAATCACTTTTGGTTCACTTTGGTCTAGTAGTTAGCAATTGCGGTGCGGATTTGTTTTGCATCATCAGTCGTGGCATTCTGATCACAATTTATCAATCGGTACTCTGTACTAGGGGACTCACGATCAATGGACAACCGAGCCCTCACACAAAACACACAGTGCGTTGCTGAATAGGGAGGATAATGAGGTTCCAAGGACACCCTGCCCTTAGCCAGTGTTTACACAATTGCTCACAATTTGCTGCCTTCGAATCTGGCTCAATCGAATCTCGTCTCTTTTCTTCTCTTATTTATTCCTCCTTCCCTTCCTCCTTCCCTTCCTCCCTTCCTTCTTCCTCCTCCACGACCACAACTACCACAAAATTTCCCTTTCCTCAGCATCGGGACGTTCCTTCTTCGATAAACACGACAAGGGTCCAGTTTTACACATAAAAACTTTCCTCTCACTCACCAAAAATGCCTTGCCATAGTGAGAGTACCCGCCCCTGCGGCGACTGCAACGGCTCGTCCGGCGATGCTTCTCTTGTCGCCCGAGCCCTCACCGATGCTCCAAATGGGAACGGAACTTTGGTCGATGTTATGTTTACTGGTGCTACCTGTGAGGACAACCTAGTTGACATTCCTCTTGCACATCCTCTTGTGGTTGGCCGTGACCGTCTAGACTCTATCCAGGAGCCAAAACTTGAAACAGGACAAAAGTTAGCCTTGCTTCCTAAGGTCATCCGCAATTTTTCCCTTGTCGGAAAAGTTTGCGTTGTTACTGGGTAAGTACACAGTTTCTCTGTCGGCTCAACCGTCTATCTGTCCATATACCCATTCATCCACCTCACCCAGTAATTCTGGACGAAAACTGACCTTTCATCAGTGGAGCTCGCGGACTGGGTTACAATATTACTGAGGGCTTCCTTCAGGCTGGTGCCCAAGGTGCCGCGATTCTAGATATCCTTGAGGACGTGGGAATTAAAGCCGCAGACACACTCGGCAAGCGTTATAACACCAAGGTGTTGTTTTACAAGGTTGATATCACCAACGATGAGTCTGTCGAGAAGGTGTTTAGCCAGATCTGTAAGGATTTGGGTAGTATTGATGTGTTGCTCTGTTCTGCCGGAATCGCGGAGTAAGTATTATTCCTAACGTTTTTATTTATTTCCCCTAAGAATTTATTTATGGTTGTTGTAATGCGTTTTGACAGCTCCAACATGCCGGCCGAGACTTACTCCATGGCCCGTTTCCGTCGTCTTATGGACATCAATGTCAACGGTCTTATGAAGTGTTCCCAAGAAGCAGGGAAACAGATGATAGAGCAACGCACCGGAGGATCCATTGTATTGATAGCCTCAATGTCCTCACACATTGTCAATTATCCTCAGGAGCAATGTTGCTATAACGCCTCAAAGGCTGCTGTTAGACATCTCGGTGCATCCCTCGCCCTTGAATGGGCCAAGCATGGTATCCGAGTTAGTGAGTATCTTCTCTGTTACTGAAACTACACTCACCATCACCTAAAAATTGACCAACCAACCAAAACTACACAGATTCGATTTCTCCGGGGTACATGGATACTGAACTCAATCGCGCTCCGGCCCTCGAGGAGCAAAAAGTTATCTGGTGCGATCGTACCCCCATGAAGCGCCTTGGTCAGGAGGATGAGCTCAACAATCTCGCGTTGTTCCTCGCCTCTCCCGCTAGCTCCTTTGTGACCGGAGCCGATGTTATCATCGATGTAGGTCACAATTTCACATTCACACGCTCCACTAAAATGGCTCCTAACAGATACAATACAGGGTGGGTATTGTATTCCTTAGGCATCACCCTAACCCACAACTCGACGGTCTTTTTCTCTTTACTTTACCTTCTATTTTTTATTTTCTTCTTTCAATATTTCCCTTGTCCCCTGGTTTCTTGGGTTTTGAATGTGGGGAAACTAGTTGGGGCATCTGCACAGGAGGAATCAAGATAGTTAGTGGAAGTGAGACAAATTGCGAGTTTGGAAATTTAATTTGGGATATAAATAAATAAAAACGGTATCTGCATTATTTTCTTTCTTTCGTACTCCTTTACTTCTTACAGTGCAGTGCAATGCCTTTGTGAAGCGAAGTGAAAACATTCAGGTTTCCGCAGTCACTACGAGTCACTCGACAGGTTCAACAATGAAAATTTTGTCGGTTTTTTTTTTTTTTTCCCTGAAAGTTGATGAAATTTTCTTTATGGCCTCCACATTTGAACAAATAGCACTTGCGGGGGGAGTGAATTGATGCCAACTTCGCGCGGAGTTGATGTAAACCAAATCCTTGCATGGACGGGCTAGAGAGCAACTATCTGGCTCTTGTGAACTTCTCTGTCTACCCTTCCTCCTACCGTCAGAGACGATAGGATCAACTGCAGATTGAAAGCCATGCGAAAACAGCATCCTTCATGATATCTTGTATGGCTTGTTTGTCAAATCCGCTCACAGTCTGCTCCGCTAGCCTGATCAAACTGCAGGCTGCAGAAATAGATTCAAGGACGGGAGGGAAGGTATGATACTATAGGGAGTATCATAAATTATACAGTCGCTTAGAAACCATGATATACTAGAGGAAGTTTTGCCCTACTGTATTCGTTAGGGTCTACTGTGCCATTACTGTTTGCTGACGCCACTTACCTTCTAGGTGATGCCACCTCTGCCATTCTAGGGCTCGCACTGAACATGGGCTTATGGTGGCCAAGGAATATTCTTCTGAAGACCCTGCGATAGTGCTCACGAGAGGCTGTGACAAGCTCTTCGGTAATCCCAATTGGACTTTATACTAGCGGTATGTCCATCACATCCGCTGGATTTCTTGGGGGTAGCATTCGAATGTCGCCCCTGCACAGTAGACTACTTTCTATCCAAACATTGACTTTTCCACAGCACAACACATTAACTGCGGAAGCAATAATTTACTTTACAAAAGAAATGATATCGCTTTAGCCTCGACGCGAGAGCATTGCTCGAGCAGTAGTTTGGAAAGAGCGATACGAGGGTTGCTGCGCATAAAAAAAAAACCTCTCTTTTCAGGGTCTCCGTGTGTGTGGTGGATGCGCAGCACCGATAGTAGGTGGTGGTGGGGCAGGCTGGCTGCAATGCAGCTTTCCGCGCATTTTCGTGCGCAGTGGGTTTTGACGAATGCCGGTAATCGGAGCAAGGCTTCTCGGGTGAGTGAAATGGTATTTTGAAGTATTCTGGCACATTATGATGGCTATACTCGAGTACAGTACTGTACAAGCGCTCAAGTGCCATAGTGCTAGTGGGGGGAAACGTGCCGGAAAGGGTCTGCTGTCTTAATGGGGGGGGGTAATGGGTAATGCTGTAGTTGCGGGTCAGGTTGTTGTCTAAGCCTGGATGGAATTGTTCAATAATGAATGAAAGCGGTAAGGTGAGGCTTTCTGTTTTGATTTCTGGTTCATATCAGATCAATTATATAGTACTAAAGAGTTAATGGAAATCCATATTGAGGGAGCGGATGCGCTGGGAGATAACACATAAAAACTTCTTGAAATATTTCCTCTATTGTGGTATAAGCTACCAGGTGAGCTCTGTCCTGAGCTCGTTACTAGATAACTTGAACTCTGAATTACCCCACCTGGTCACTCAGAGCCTTTGATCAACCGACACGTTCATAGATACAAGCCTATCCACTCTCCCCCCAAACCGCCCAAAACTCATGCACCATAGTGCCCAAGTGCGGATGAAGCCTTCATACGTGTATTGTACTGTACATTGCATGCATACGCATATACATGTGGAGATATCATACCAGGAAACATTGTACCTAGTGATGGCTCATAATAAATAATTGTTATGCTGCGATCACACAACCTCGTGCTGGTATTGGTAGATCCGCTCAGCAAAGGTTTTCTTTACCACAGCCTTATCGTGATCGCCCGCAATATATATCCACCTTTCGCATACGCACTCACCCACACGTCCATATATCTGGCGAAAACTCCCTCGAGAAGCGCCCACGATTACTTTCCGTTATTCTTCCCTTCTTGTATCCCTATCCCGAAGAGGTCCATTCCACCTTACCGACACCATGAACGGTGTACAAAGTAGAGCCGCCGACAAAGATTCCAGAACCGCTACTGACAATGACACACACCTGCAATGGCTTATCCATGAGCGGACCCAAATGGTGCAGTCTAAGTTTGTGGGTATGGAGAGCGTCGAGGTTTTAGCGATGTGGAGTGGATCAAGTGGGGTCACCCTCTGCCTCCTCCCCTCCTCCTCTTTCTACCACTAACAACCACCTAGTGGTTCAAGCCTTTGGCGAGTCAGGCAAGCCCCGCCGGCGAGTGATGGACGCCTGCTTCCGTCCATTGGGAATCGCTTTACCAACCTTGGTTGTAATGTCCGGCTGGTCAGATACGAGCGAGGACATGTTCAGAGATATGCGGGACTACATGAATCGCGGGAATGGAACGATTAGGACAGTAATTGTACTCAAGTGGCATATTGAGGGCTCGGACGCGGTGGTAAGTTGTAATTTGAAGGTTTACGAGTATGCAAGAAATCGGCCGGATAAGAAGGCGTATATCAAAACGCAAGAGGAGGTATGATTTCTCACTTTTCTCCCTTTCCGCCTTAAAAATTGTTGGCAGTTGACAATAGGGGTCTATACAGGAAATTCTCCCGGGGGATTCCTGCACGGGAGGCATTAAGATAAAATTGGGGGATATATGTTCTACAAAGTTACCTCCTGGGGAAGATGCGAAAAAGGAGTATTCTATGTCTCTTCCACGATTACGGAATATGGCGTTGAGGTTTATTCGTGAGGATAAGTTTCGCCCGGATGGAAGAGAGGATGTGGGCGAAGATTCAGACGAAGTAGATGATGAAGAAGAAGGAGGAGAAGGAGAAGGGGTTGACCCAAATAATTTCCTGGTGTCTGGAGTTGGCGGATATATGGCGGTAGAGGCCAATGTTACCAACGGGAGCAGTAACCAGAGCCATATCTCTGGTAATAACTCTGGCAATAGCCTTAGCAATAATCTAGAGTGCTTCAATGAGAGCTACAATGCTAGGAGATTGTCAGTTATTGTATGGCTTTCCACTTCTGCCCCCTCGGGCATGGATAGCTGACTAACCATAATTCACAATGGTAGAAACTGAACCTACCAGAAGAATTTCTCGGCCATTCCCTCAACATTGCGGAAAAGAAGAAGCTAGGTGCATTCTTCAAGTCCCCGGGACGCTTCTTAAAGAAACTGGCTCGTCGATGTGCCGAAACTGGACGACAGGTCTGCGACAACATGCAGGTGTCTTATGACTACATCCCTGACCTGAGCAAAGTCGCGCTATACGACACCGTTATTCTATGCGGTACTCTCCCTCCCCTACCGAGTCCATAGTCGCTAACAATTAGAATAGACGATTCGGGCTCCATGAAGCACGACGATCGCTACGAAACGATGCGAAAAACTGTCTTGAAAATTTCAGACGTGTGCACCGCCTTCCGGGACGAGGGCATCTCCGTCAAGTTCCTGAATTTCAAGGGGGACAAAGACTACAACGGTATCTGTGATAGAGAGGCATTGGATCAGGTCGTCAGCAGTGTCAACCCTAAGGGCGGGACAAGACTGGGAACCGTACTCCGGAACAAGATTGTAGGGCCATTGATTATTCAGAAGGCGAAGGAAAAGTTGTTGGATAAGCCTGTGCTTGTCACCATCATCACTGATGGACAGGTTTGTTCTCAGTTACTCTTTATTTTAAGGGAGGGATGGTAGTTCATTACGTGGGGATCATAGCCAGCAGGTGAAACCCGAGGTGAACTAAAACGGACCATACTTAATTGCAAGAGGGAACTAGCCGGCTTAAAAGGGCCAACTGAGGAGCTATATGGAGGGTCAGGTCTGGTTCTCTCGCAAACATTCAACCTTCAACCTCAGACCGACTAAACCATCATCTCTACAGCGGTGGTCTTCCAGATAAGTCTCATCGGAGACAGTGAGGATGCGCGAAGCTATGTTAAAGAATTGGAAGACGACGCAGAGATCGGGAACTCGGTTTTCTGTACACGGGGTATAATATTCATTCCTTTAGTGCTGACTCACTGTTGTTCCTAACAGCATGATTGATTTGCAGAACGCCTCGACGTGGTTAAGGGCAGGATGAGTGATCCACAGTATACTGGTTGGGTGAGTGATTTCTGATGATTTCCTCAGGGAGACTTTTTTCCATTTTCTTCTGTTCCGAGATATGTTGCTGACGAAGAGTATAGTTAATCCAGTTGCTGGCGGCGGGGGTAGATCACGAGTAATATTTAGTGTAAGCCGTAGTTTACGATTCTCTTCTCTTGTTGATCTGGTGGTGGTGGTGGTGATATTTTGGGTCGGTTGGTTTTGTTCAGTCTCGGATGCTTGGTAAATTTTATGATAATATTATCATGCTTTCAAACGAAAAGAGGATCGTATGAAGGAGGGATAGGATGGTTCACTTTGCCTGAGGTTGTTCTCCCACCGAAGTGGAGCATAGCGGAGCAATAATTATATAAAAGCAACAGTAGGACGACAAAGAAGCACAGGCCACCCCCAAGAACGGACAACTCAACGCTACTCGAGCGCGGTAAGAAAAATACTTTACTCGTACATTGACAAGATTGTGTGCGCCATCTGTACTTGATTGGGTCCATAAAAGTTATGGCACTATGATACCACGGTAGCCGAAAGATCACACACCCGTAGGGTACTGTACTTGTACAGTACCGGTACCCAGCCCGAGTTACCGCAAAACCCAAGCAAAATCACAGATCAATTCCAACAGGGTGTGTGTGTGGAATTAAACGACAGAACCCTCCTCCACACAAAAAAGATGTCCAGGGGATGTATTTCCCAGTGCTGGTATCACCCACCGAAGCCGCTTCAATTGGTTGCTGGCCGGCTTCTCGCTTGCTGGTGCACTCGAGTATTACTCGGAGACTACGAAATCATCTCATTGCCCAACGTTTCTACCCAAAAAGTATTCGACTTTTGGCGTGGAGGGCACAACACAACTTGGGTGCTCGAGTACGGTATGATAGGTACGATGCCGTCATGGCCGAGTTAGGCTACAAGCGTGAGGATTGCGGTATTGTTGGGGAGTGGAAGGGTTCAAAGTTGGAAATCACAGGCTGTATTTTACCGTGTCCCGGTGGTGTACTGTACTTGTGGGGGTTTGGTGATGATTCTACCGCAATTATATCATACTATGTCATACAAGTGAATTGTTTTGGAGGCCGTGGATATTATGATGTTGCTATTGTATCTTAAATACCGGTATTGCCTGAGATCCGCCAATCCCTCCAGATCGGGGGGGGAAGAAAAAGAAGAAAAAAGAAGAGAAAAAAACATGCTAGATTAGATAGATGGCAGGAAAAAGCAGTGCAGTGCAGTCTTGCAGACTGATAGCAGATGAGGAAAAAACCAGAATGTAAAGCAGGAAAACCCAGGGCATAGATGAAGAGCTTCGCAGCTGACTACCGAGAAAAGGGGCCATCCCAGACGCCCAAGCGCATAGGCCAAAGACAAATTACCACCTGCAATAATCTCTACTCCCCTGAAAAGATTCCCGTCTCCCACCATAAAACGATTCCCTCCTCCCACCCACAGGCACCCGCCTCTCATAAACAGACTCTCGCCTACTATACACAGACTCCCTCCTGCCATTGCTAAAAGACCGGCTTCGGCCAATGTACGAACCACATCTTTCGGAAAAGGTTTCGGATCCTGTACTCCTCCTCCGCTCGTGTCTCAAAACCTCTTGGTCGTACTCCTTCAGACGCATAGATACATCCCAGAGGTCTACCGTTTCGTCCTCAACATCATTGAGATGCGAGCACCATTGGTTGTATCCAAAATACTCGTGAGACATGCGCCCCGTGCCCCATCTTCCAGATTGGGATTCCGGAGATGCGGGAGAACGTGTATTGCGGTGGACGAACGGTGGTCTCATGAATGACGCACGGTGAGCATATCTCTGGTCCGAATTCCATGTCTTCAGTTTAGCTTGCAGCTCCATTTCGGCGGAATGGTAGAAGTCTGAGAATAGTGCTCTCCCAGGCACTACGAGAGTATCGTGTCCGTCGGCGATTCGATAAATAGCCGGGAAAGTGCATAGGACTGGGCGAGTGATACTTTCTACCTGCAACACAGAATACCCTCTTACTCGGGAGTCTTCGGGGTCCATTTTGAAGTTTGCTGTTCCGTTTTCAACGTCAACCTCCGGGATCGTCTGAGCCTTGGACTTGAATGTGGGCTCCCAAGCCTCTTGAGCGGACTTTACAAGTTCCTGAAGAGATTCTGCGAGTGTAGCTGCTGGTGAGGCAGATATGGCCCCTATACTGGCAAGGATTTTATTGACTGTCTTCTGTCGCAGCTTTGCGGCCGCCATCTCGTGCTGTGGTAAGGCCTCCAGCGCTTCAACAGTTAGGCGCTGCCAAAGTGCTTGTTTCGATGGGTCCAATTTCAACAATTCTCCTGCTATGGCTTCCATATTGAAACAGAAGCTAGGAACAACGGCCGAGAAGATGTTATTGACAAGATGGCGGCAGATTATATTCTGAACGGCCGCTATGCGTAGTCTTTTCCCAAGCGAGGATGTGCAAAGAAACTCCGGTGGGAATGGCGATCTATCGAGAGAGGCAGAAGACTCAAACTACAAAAGTTTGGTAAGTTGTAATTGTTCAAGTTCCGAGGTAACTCACCATCCTCAAACTCAAGGGGAGCTGACTGAAATGCTCTACAGCAAACTTCCTGATAAGAACTTCGAGCTGCGAGAACCGTTCTGGGCTGGTTGAGGCATAACGTGTTGTTGTTAGCACCAAGAATACCGCAATTCCTAAAAGGACAGCAATACCTTATGAGACCCGGCTCATCCATAAAACTATGGGAAAATTCCTCCCGCTCTTCCTGTATTACACTCTGATATCTCCCGCTCTGCATCCCCCGCACGGAAGCACCAGGTGGGCCATAGGGTGGGACAAGCCTACCGCTCACTGGATGAGTTCTCCCTGCGGGACTTCCACGATGTATGGATCTTGTATTCCCAAAAGCATTAGGGTTAGGACTCTCGGCCGTGGTGAGAGTGGGGCTAAGTCTTGCAGTATTTGACGTATGAACACAGGACGCGTGCCCCGACAAGCATGGTGACTCTGCTCCAACACGAGGAGTACGGCCAACCATAGGAGATCCAGTGTTGCTGCGTTCGCCAAGTGGCCCAATAGCTGGAGTTGGAGCTTCTTTTCGCACCGAACTTGGCCCAAAGAGGGGTATTCCCTGAGCATCAGACCCTATTCGGCAAATTACAGCTCGTCAGTATGTGGTCGGCAGCCAAGAAAGCAGTCGTAGAGCAGGCGCTAACTTACATGGGAAGAAGTTTGCTCGAAATGGAGATCTCATGGGGGATGGCACTATGGGTCGATTGACCATCCACGCCTTGGGACGGGAAGCTGCCAGAGACTCCCTATCTTCTACCTCATCGGATACCCGCCCGCAATAACTGGCCGCTGCGATTTGGACCGCCTCATCTCTGATATCTGCAAATGGAGATTCTTCATAGTAGTACTCTGACGCAGGACTGGCTCTAGTTAGTGAATTTGCTTCTGCCTTAATAACCCTTCCGCCCGATGCCGAATGTTCACAATGAACCTCAGTAGACATTAATGAGTACACATTATCTCCGAGTTGAATACCGATACCAAGGGGATCTCCTGCATATGGGCCCCCGCTAGCAATAGAATTTCCTCCAGCGGTAACGGGTGGCAGAGATTGCTGGTCTTCGAGAAATCAGCTTTTGCGCTTTCCGTGGTTTCCAGCTAACAATACAGGGGCGCCCTACCTGGCGAACTTCCAGCAAGACTACTCGGACTCTCCGATCTCTCCACCTTTTTCCCTTTTACTATGTCATCCCAAGAAACCTTTCTCTCATTCAGGCTCCTAGACCGCCGAGAGTTGGATGATTTAATCGCACGGGCCGGCTCCTGTGGAGTGAGGACAGTATCCGTAGCTTCGTGTACTTCCGGAATACTAGCCTGTGAGGGTGCCGTAGGAGGCTTTTGAGATGCTGGTTTTCCCCAGAGCGACGAGACATAGGATAACGCCGTGACCAACCTACTATTAGGCTGAATATCAAACCACCAAGGTCAGCACTCTATTATCGCCTAATCGGGTATTAAGAGTGCATAATTTACCATTGATTGCAGGTTACCCTCCTCTTCAAGAGATTCCGGAGTTCCAGCTGGTGCTGCAGCCTGCCTACATGTTGGGCACTCGGGTGCACGCTGATAATACTGTGGAGTTGGCGGGGAGGCGGTGGCTGTACAAAATCCTGCGGGTCCTACCTCCACCTTCTGTGATTCTGTTTCATCAACCCTATGAGTGCCATTTTGCGAACCCACATCTGATTCCCTGGCTTCCACATGCGACTGGGGGTTAGTGGATCCTTCCTTCTCGCCCGCGATCCCGCCCCGGCCAAAGCCTCCATCTATTTTGGCTGCGGTCGACTGGCAAGGAGTGCTGATTTCAGTGCCCCTGAGAGAACCCACCTGACGGCTATGAGGTGTGTCTGGTGGTTTCGATAACGTGGTTCCACCTTCACTACCCATAGCTCCGGGAACTTCAACCGAATCAGGAGTGTTTCCGGGAGCATCGGAACGTGTATCGAAAAACTCCCCGGAGTCCCCCTTCCCAGGAGACATAGTGATACCAAGAGCGGAAGGGATCCTCGGAGCGCTTTCAAGCCCTTCTGTAGAATTAGGTACACCAGCACTATCACTGGAAGAAATGTTCTGGTCATTACTCCTTGTAAGTCTCAGAGAATCAGGCACGAAGACGCCCCCCGCTTGAGGTTCGACCGTCGGGAGATTCTCGGATGCCGAGCCCCCGGTCTCCTCCCTTTGCTGTGCACCAGGGGCTCTGAATTCCTCTTCAGTATCCAAGAATATGCCCTCGACCACCCCTGTATCTGCAACTTCAAAATTTTCGACATCTGTTAAGACGGAACCACCTTCTAACGCACCATCTTGGGATGTATTCTGGGTCACAAAACTTGGAGGCAGCTTCGGTGATACGATACCCCCCGAGAAAGAGACACCGTCACCGATGGCATCATCCGTGGCCCCGCCGGCCAGGGCTGACAGTTCACCCTGAGCACTCTCGGCTACCGGGGCAATTGAATCCAGTGAGGGGGCTGTCGTAAGGATTATTTCTTCAAGGGAATCGGGCCCCGCCCGATCGATACCGGTCTTACCAAACTCCTCAGTAGAACCGGCGGCAATCTTCGGGGCCTCTGATGGTTGTGGTGAGTTCAGTACTGAGCTCGCCTCTTCGGAAGGTTTATAACAGGTCTCCGGACCCCTAGCCTCATCGGTATTCTCACCACTTCCAAGGACCTTAGGTTCCCCTATATCCGCTGACTGAACCTGGAGTGGGTTCACCCCCTCCGAAGATTCAAGGTCAGTATTAGGATGGCTGCTAGAATCTAACTTCTCAATACTGCCAGACCCACCGACGGCCTCCAGGGCACCCGAGTCAATACACGTAGCAGCTTCCAAAAGACCTGAACCCTGTGAACAGGGAGGGGGAGATTCCAAGCAGCCGATATTCTTCTCAGGTGGCTCAGAACAGCTCTTAGGACCATCGATAGGACCAGTGCCCCCAACGGCATCCGTATCTCTCAAGGTTTCCAAGGTATCTATTTCTAATGATGGGTTAGCCTCCTCGAGAGATTCTGAGCCAACCCTAGGATCAATGATGGGATCAGTTTCCCCCAAGACATCGGTATCCTTATCAACCTTCGCGTCTGAGATGTCTGAAATGTCTGAGGTGTATGAGATATCCGACAGATCTGAGTCCTGTGAGGGGCTAAGCGGTGGACTCCATTTCCCTGAGATTCCTGGAGCGGCATCGAAATTAAGAACAGAATCAACTCCCACGGTAGCTCCAACATGTTCAAGAGACGCGCTCACTCGTCCTAGGGGTTCAGAATCGGTATCATCCCCGTTTCCCTCATTGTGAAATTCAGGACCACCGACAGGACCAGCATGAGTGGGTTCGGGGTCGCGAAGGCGGGGTCCAGTCTCTCCAGGAGAATCTACAATACTCTCGGATTCCCTTTTATCTAGAATATCTTTCGTTACGTCCAGTCCCTGATGTGTGTCCTCGGGGGTTATCTGGGCATTTGGCTCATCGAGCAAGGTAACACAAACGTCAACTGCGGGTCGCTCCGGAACATGTGCGCCGCTGGACGAGGAATTGTCGCTTGGATTTTCGGGGTTTTCTGTCTGAAGAATCAGAGTAGGGAAATCGGGGTCTCCCGAGCCGCTCGGTCCCGGATCGATCTTTTTCACGCTCTCTACCTCTGCTGGTGTTGCACGACTACCACCCAGCGAGCAAGTCTTGTTCTCACTAGATCCGACCTCGGGCGGCGAGTCATCACCCTTCTGCGGAGCTTCTGAGGGAATACCGGTACCGGTAGTCGTGTTGCTTGGAGATGTCAGGGGTTGGGGAGCATCCAGATGCTCTCTATCGGGTGGAAAACCTAGGCCACTACCGGTATCGTTTCTAAGTGAGACATCCCCACCATTTTTCTGGTTGTCTATGCTCAGAAACGGTAAGGCTGATGATGCTAGAATTTTCCGATTATCGCTTGGCTCTCCCGTTCCAGTGCTTATAGGATCTACCGGTAGGTTGCTGTTGTCGACGGCTGGCGCACTGGGAGCTTGTTCTAGACTTGAGATCTTCTGTCCGAAATCTCCTGTACCAACCGCTGCAGGAGGTATCTGCGGCTGCAGCTGGTTTCCCTGACCGGGTAGTTGTGATGAGGGTGGGAATTGAGATACCGGTAGCTCTTGGAGGATCGAATTATCGGCCCTGGCCAATGCTACTTCTTCTGCGGCTTTTCGATCGGATGCCACTGTCACTGTCCTCAGTCCATAGCCGTCCTCCTCAATCACTTTCTTAGCAATTGCACGCAACCGACCCAGCGAGAAAATATAACTAGAATTGGGATTGGTGTCCGGGAATTTCCTTCCAAAGATTTCGCTAAATAGCACTGTGACTACCTGCAACTTGTCTCGATCCTCCTTTTCCGGGAGCACAACTTTATTTTACCAATTAGCAAAGTTCTAGTGCTAATAAGTGTAGTGGGCATTAAAAAACGCTACCGACCTCTTCCTGTGAAAGGCGCTCTGTTCTGGTCGATTTGTCCCACTCATAAACCTCCAAATCACATCCAACCTCGTGTAAAGGTGTCTTTGACCACCTGAGCAAAAAGACCTTTCTGACACCACCATTCCCCGACCTTATCCAGTGTCGAGCATCCGAAAGCATTTTCCCATAGGCCTCCGTCCAGCCGGAGACAATAGCCAGCGACGGGAGAGGGCTCCCAAGTGGTCTGAGACAGATATCTAGCTCATCCCGTGGAATTGGGCCATTTTTTATTGCTTCGGATACTGATCAATAATTTCTGGGTTAGATAAATTTAGAGGCTTGAAAGAAGCGATCTTGATAAGGATTACCTTTACCGGCCCAAAACACAAGGTTCTGGTCCTGTTTCTTAGTTACAAAGCCCAACCGCATCATATTGAGCTTCTCCTCAAGTAACCACTGATAGTGACAGTTGCTATGGGTCCGCGCTAATGATTGCTCTATGGGTTCCCGGGAGGTTTGTTCACCCTGCATATTAACTATATAATTCGGGCTACCGAGATTGTGTTTTGTGTTTGTTGCGTATCAAGAGGATGTCAGGGAGCTGGGGAGGTCTTTGGAGAAATTCCGGCACCGGGGATGATTCACTTTTAAGGTTCGAGTTAACTACTGGTCTGCGTTTGATAGAACTTAAGTGCTCTAGTGGGAGGGGGACGTCCCTTCCTTCACCAACTCCAACCGGTATCTCTCGAGGGGAGAGTTCAAGGCTGCGCACGCTGAGCCCTGCCTCACAATTGGAGAATAGTCGAACTCTACCACACCCCCGAATTGGTATAAGAATTCACACAAGAGTATCACCTCATAGGGCAGAGAATTGCCGATTATCCCACTTAATACACGTATCTTCGAGGCCACTGAGAAGCCGCGATTAGATCTTTAGAACCTCTGGCATGGCCTCTAGTGAGATGCTTCCCCTTCGGTGTCATGTGCGATACGAGCACAGTACGTGGCAAAGACCTACGAATAGCGCTACAGAGTGAGAACCCATGACCCCTTTCTACATTAATAATCTTACTATGATACCCCGTTTTCCTGCCCGTCACCCCCCTGCCCTATACTCGAGTAGCGGAAATGGCTTCATTAAAGAATTCGATTAAAGGATATGGTTCGCCGGCGCTCTCATATCCCCATGGCCCTTCGTACATAATACAGGCATTCTATGCATAGAGTACGAGTACAGTGCAGTGCAGATGACTCCCTATCCCCGGTTAAACCGCAAGCACGGAAAGCACCATACCCTAGCGATGGGTGCTTGACTCCAGCCTCGGATTTGGGGGTTATTAGAAGAGTCGGGATAACGGGTGATATAGCCATAAGAGGAACTAGGTTTTTCAGAAACACGGCCTTTGACGTTCCGGCTGAGTTGTAGCAATGCCGGTACTATCTGCGCCGAGTCTCGAGAGGGGCGCACAGTATTGGAGCCTACCGGCAGTAACACGACGTCAATTGGCGCATTCCCATGCCCGATCACGCTCCGTCCAGATTCTGCTGCACTTTACTGGTAGTATCCTTTTTTCTACAACTGGCGGGCCAGTCCGCAGGAGGCGATAATTACCATGGGGGGGTTGAGGTAGTTGCCGCCTGCAGCTTGATTGTTTTCCCCACCCTATCCTCACCGCAAAAAAAAAAAAAAAAAAAAAATTTTTTCTTCATCCCCTTCACACAGTCCGACACAATAATACTGGTAGTCTGAGAACCCATCCGTTTCAGTTGGGATATTTTTGGGTGGACAGTGTTCTCCGATCTTCCAGAACCTCACCTAACAATAACTTTTGATATAATACCATTTGCCCTCACTCAAATTCTGTGAGCCAGCAAGTTCGGATATCCGGGGCAATCATGACCCAGCAATAGTTGGATTTGCTCACGTTAGTTCGGCCCATTCCCAGGAATTTGCGAATATCATGTGCCGTTGCGTAAGGCCGATATAATTGGGTTACCCCCATTTAAAAAAGACCGGATGAACTACTCGTACAGTACTCGCAGTATGATGCGCTGTCCCATCCCATTGTTTATCTCGAAACAGAGGTCCCAATGATCTCCTCTCGATTTCTCCTTACGTATCAGCCTCATCGGTTTCTCCCATGAATAGAGGAGATAATCTCATTACTTTTTTTTTCTTTTTCTTTCTTCTTCTTCACCGGACGATGGGCATCTTACACTCATCGAGCTCATTTGTGTCCGCATGCCTCTCGAGGGATTGGGGTATTCAATCAATGGTTTTCTCATATCCGGATGCCAACTCTAATTCGTGAATTCAGGCTACAGACGAAACTAACTAAGTTATAATGATTCGTGATTCGTGAACGAGTGATTTTCTATGTGAGGTGGCTCAAAAGGTGGCCCCCATGCGCAACCGAAACACAATTCCCAGGGCCAACTTGCGACAAGAACTCTATTATAATAAATTCGCCCATATTGCCATATTATACACGTGGCTAAGGAAATACTGAACTTGTACGATATGGGCTTCTCGTAGTTCTTGACGGATCAACTTCCGATCCACTCCTCAACCCCTAGAGTTCCACCAAGTTCGGATTACTCCCCAGAACTACAAAAGGCATTCACAACGAATTTTGCATAGCATACCGCTTTCAGTGAGCCCCTCGGAATGGGCGCCCAGAGCGGTTGTCTCTCTTAGACAGGCTACAGTTTGCCGTTGAGTGAGAGGACATTGGCAATATAGCAAAAGCAAGTTGGCAACCCCTCCTCCGGTCAACCCTCCCCTCATTGCCTCCGATGTAAGCGCTCTCGGTTGTCAAGTTACTTGTAAACTCGCCCTCACGGCGATACGGGGGAGGGCGGGGGTCTGCCCGATTGGCTGGTGACGAGGTGGAGTGCGAAATGTGCGAAGAGTTGAGAGCCGGGAATAGTGAAGTCCTGGGAACATGCAGTTCACCATCTCTCCACCAAACAGGGCACTCGAGTGCTGTACTCGAGTACAGTATGGTCCTAGGGTGTGCGCAAAGGTCTGCCGAACTCTGCCCTCATAGGCCGAGTCTACTATGATATGCTTGAAATCATATATTTATCCTAGTCAAACCTATCCGGCGTCCACTAGCAAAACACAACCAGGGAAGTTATGATACCTGAACAAACAATTGGCGGATTTCCTCCTCGCAATCCGGTGATGGGGAAAAAAAAAAAAGTCTGTCGAACTCTTGACGCAGTGACTGAGCAAATACCGTTCTCTGAGTGGCCAAGTATGGCTGGAGCGAATAGGGGGAGGTTCGACAGACTTACCCGCAACCCCCGGGCACTTTGCAGTATGAGTGTGATATACTCGAGGACTCAAGTGCGGTACCAGGGCTGTATGCGGGTGCAAGTGTGGGGCTCGTTTTTGGGGCGAAGAGGAGACACAAGGCGTGGATAGATGCTCCACCGTCGTAGTAGTATGATACAGTATGATGCTACCATAACAGCTACAGGGGAGGCCTAAATTGTTGTTTGTGTTCGATTACGGCAGGACATACGTTTTGGGGGGCCCTTGAGGGGAGCATGAATGGATTTAATGGTAGAATGTAAATTGGGAGACGAGGCTAAAGGCACTTCCTCCCAACACTTCACAGAATACTTGTACTCGTATCATACTGAAACCGATTTCGGTACTCTCTGAGGAGCGATATATGATGGGCTTAGGCATGACGCGATCGGCACTCCCGCTCAACTTACCGATCGGGCCCAGGGGGCGGTTAGTCTCAGGTTGGGTAAAGTGCAAAGTTAATGCAAACGCCGCTGTTTATCTACTGCAAGTTATACTGACCGGTACAGTACATTACCCATCAACTGGCGGCGCGATGACTCGTAAGAAAGCCAGCCTTTCAACACCCCTAGCCTCTCTTTGTGAGTGTGTTGAGGATGCCCAACATAGAGTATTTACCTACCGCGTGACCACCACTATGCGGTACCGATGTTGGATGAATGTGAGATCTAAATTTACCCTATGATTCCAAAGTCTGAGAATCATGGAAACAGGAAGAGCTCATGCGAGTGTTAGTTCTTTGTATGGGCAAATATGTAACTTATGACCCATTTCTTAACCGCGGAAACTTGTCGATCCATTTAGCGCATTTTCGATCCCGGCCATTACCCTCCCTTCATCACCCGCACAACCACCACCCCGCGAACCAATACTCGTACTCGAGTACTGAAGTGCGACGGAAGGGTTACTTGCTTCATTGGCATAATGCCAAGCCACGAGCGACGTGGTAAACTACTTGTGTGAACCCCGCTTTCGAAAGCTGAATGGGGAAGAAGGGTCGGTTGGAAAAGATATTGTACGGTATGTTTTTTTTTTTTTCCCAAGATTTCCTGTGTCCAGGCAGCACGCCAAACTCATTTGCAGGGTGGACTCTGCATCGAAGGTTATCATGGTCCGAATTCTCGGCGGGGAAAGGTTACCCGTATTGTGAAGTCATTGCTGGTTTGGTTGGGGTCCTCCCGCGTGGCGCTCATGCGGGCCATCAAAACCACCCTGCATTAGGCTTAGCTTCACATTTTATAGCTGCACGAGACCCTGAGTTCTGAGTTGTTTGTTTGATCTTTCTTTTCACTCACGGACGCACCCTCATGTTTGAAATGCTGGAGTACCGGTATCTGGAAGCGATAAGACTTCTGCTTTCCACCTATGATACTTACACCCTTTCCCATCTCTTCTCACGTGTTTCAAGTCAAAAGATAAATCGTTTCTTGAGGCTTTTTTGTATTCGTCGAACTCACACCTTTTCCCGGAGCAAAAATGAATGCTTCGAAAAATAAATCTCTAAAAGATTCCTCACGTGCATGCACCATATGCAAGAGCTCTGATGCGTGGAGGAGTACGTACTCGTACCGGTACGAATATTCTAGCATTAAACAAACACGTGGAGTGATAAGGTATGTGGAAGAATCTTGAGAGTGGTTGCCCAATTGACTTGGGTTGGAATGAGGGATCGGAGGAGGCGAGTTGCCTCCGCCTCTGCTGGTGTCTTGGGTTGGCGGCTCGGTATGGCAAACTCCTTGTGCTGAAGTAACTCCTTGGGTACCGTTACTATGGACGAGGTTGTAACGGATCGATTCAAGTACCGGTAACAAGGCTTGTCAATAATGCGGATACGGGTACGGTACAGGTACTCAAAGTCACTGCTCTCGCCGATACTAGGATACAAATTTCCTCAAGGGTGTACCGTGCTACCGGTATCGCTATGGTGGAAACAGAGTTGGGCTTTCGATACGATGGCTTATCGGTACTCAGGGTGCTAGATTTTTGGGAGTTTCAAGGAATGCCTAAGACTCCCTTCCTTATCTCGGGAGCAGCGCGCTGATAGTAAGGCGATTTGCAGTACGTTAGACTCCTTTGGTTTGGATCCTCCCTATCTGCTTTGGGACCATAGAAGAACCCTCCTCGCACCTGCTGGGCCGGACCCACGATCAGACTGGCTCATTCGGGTCGGAGAGGAAAGAGATGGAAATTCCTAGGCTATGATAAACTTTGGGGGGGGGGCAACAGGATAGAGAGAAGGCATCAACTTGCACATACCATGCCAGAATACCCTATCGCGTACCGGTATCCAACAGGCAAGCATACTCGGCCCGACAGTGTGGGGGTTCCCTGGCGATTGCCACGGCTGAGCGGGGAACCTCGTGGCCAGAACATATCCATTCGAGCTAGAACATTCCCTCAAGAGGACGGGCTAGGGCGTAAGTAGGGGGACTACGCGCGCCAATCGATTGCCATCCAAGACATATACTCGGACATGGAAGTAAAAATCGAGCAAAACAGGGATATGAACAAGGAATCTCGGGAATCTTGAAATTGACATCATAGAAAAAAAAGGGGTATGGAGAAAGTCAAAATACGGGAGCTTTGCATCTTTGATCATTGTGGAAGCTAGCAGTTACTGCTATCATTAAAACACTTACAAAGTCCCAAGACCCTAATACCCCAACTTCCTATCAAACTTTAGAAGCTCAGGTATAGAAAGTAAAAGAGGGGGAAGCAAAGAAGAATCATCAGTCCCATGTTGCACCTGATAAAGGCTGGTATGGGTTCTTGTGTACTCCAACTTGCCGATCTTTTCTACAATTCTGGCCGCCTCCGTACTTCAATGCAACGACAGGGTTTCTTGTTTTGCTCGATTTTTACTTCCATGTCCGAGTACTATTCTAAGCTGACCACCCTCGCGGCTGAGACAGGATAGCCTGCAGGAATGGGGTACTCTAACTTACTCGAGTAAGTGATCCTGTACGAGTAATTCTGGGACTCGTGCAATACGGTAGTGCATCGACTATCGTCCAAGACAGTGCTGTAATCTATCGGGTACACTGCGCACGTTCAGTGATTAGCTGGAGCTCGCATTACCAGTTGTCGCTTTCTGGACTCAAGAAACTTGCTTGTACGCACGCTTGTTGTCGTCCCCGTGCTCTTGGCTGCCAGGCCCTAACTAAAGTTTCGGTAGCGGCTGACGAGGCTTCCGAGCCGAGTTTCAAGCATCTTCTGGACGTAAGGACCCTGGGCAGAGGGAAATCTTCGGATCGCCGGTTGCCTGCGTGTACCGTAATTGCTCTATTAAAATTTGGGGAACCACGACTGGGGTGGGTGCTCCCAAGGGCTTTTCCACTCTCTCCCTCCGGGTTCAAACCAAATTTGGTGTCGTGTACGATTGATGGCTCTCAATCACTCCAACCACAGATTCCTATGAATGGACCCAAAAGTGTGGACTACCGGCACCGGTTCCCCAGGTTGGAATTTTGAACAGAGATAATATAATATGTCTTGCTGTTAGTTATGCCAAAGGTGAGATCTCCTGACACACGAGAGGCCACCCACCGGCTTACCTACTAGGGTGCACTCCCTTCTGGAAAAATTAATCTCTCCAATTATGTGTATGGGTGCGGTAGACTCCGGTATGTTGGAATACAGGCTGAGGATTTACTTTTGCTTTTAGCAATAAGCACCACCCGAATCGCTCGTAATAAATTGTACCCCCATCAAGACGTGTTCTGGCTGCTGGGCAGATCAGAACCTCGACCACACCACAATCTTCCTAGAGCTAGGCGCGAAAAGCACCTGAACCGCCCCCCCTTCGCCCTCGAGAAGATACGGTATCCTAACACAAGCGAATCACCTATTCGCCGCATACACCAACAAACAAGGCTCGAAATATTACCCTGTTTCCGGATTAAACACCTTGCCATACAGGGGAACAACTCGCACTGCAGCTCTTGAAACTTATGCTGTGCTCGAGTAGTGTAGGTCTCGATAGGGGATTCCCGGCGGGTACAAGTCTCTGTGGTTCTTCTGCTACAGTACGAGTACTTGGAGCTCGGGGTGATTCATTCACTTGACTGGGTGGTGCCGCTGCTTCCGAGTGATAAGTTGGAGATGCCAGTGACAAACAAATTTCCCATCAACTGGTATCAGTAGCCTCCAACCCGGTCACTACTTCTACCTCTGGTGTGGTACGATAGTCTTCGGATTTTGTGACACCCTCTCAACTCGAGTATGGAACCCGTATCCCGATCTCAACATGGAAGTCCACAGCCCCACCACCCCAAGAAAGAGAAAACAGAAAACAAAAAACAAAAAATGCACCAACCATAACGGTGGCGCGCGCGCTTAATTCTCGCGAGTGCAGCCTGTCATGGCTAGGCAGCAATACAGTACAGTGCCGTACAAGTACCCAGAACCCATAGATCCAATTATGGTTTGCCACTCAGCTTCGACTGAAGGTTCATGCATCCATCTCGTCATCCTAACCTCTTCTGGTGGTGGTGATCCAGGGCCTTTCGACTCCACCCCAAGGAAGCTGCAAAGACCTCTTACAAATATGATAAGGTTCATATTTCCTTATTCTTAGGGGCTGAGCTAGTATATAAAGGGCACTTGTTGTCCCCCACCTTGGTCAAACAGCAAGTCCCCGCTCGAATACCTCACAACACCCCAAATTACAATCTCCAAACCCCAATACCAACTCCATCATCTTATCTTAAGCCAAGCTCCCCCCCACACAAACGACCATGTCTGGGCCCTTCCAATCATACATTTCTGGCAACTACAGTGGCAACAGCGGGAGCAACAACACTTTCGGGAGTAACAACTACAACAATAGTCACAATACCACCATCGGAAACCACAACTCGAACTGTGGCAATACAAATAATTCGAACAATAGTACCTGGAATGCCGGCGGGAATTCCTATGACCAGAGACAGGATTATTCAGGACAGGACCGCCGAAAACAAATCAAAAACAGTGGCACCTGGGTGGAGGGCGGTCAACACAGAACAACCAACGTTGCGGGACACGGCGGCTTCACGAATAATGGCGATGGCCCCATGAACAACAACGCTGAAGGTGGTTACATGAATACTGGCGATGGCCCCATGAACGTCAACCCCGGCAGTGGTTTCATGAATACTGGAAGCGGTAACATGAACAACAATACTGGCCGCGGCAACATGAATACTGGCAGTGGCAAGCAATACAACACTGGAACGATCAAGGGTAATCCCGTTTACGTAAGTGCTAAGTAACTCTACCTTTAGGGTTTATGAAACTAATAGTTTCTTTAGAACTAACATCGCTGCTGGGTGTTAAGGATTCTTTTTCCTCATTTGGGGGTGTGAAACTCTATGGATTTCTCGCCGCCACTGTTGCCGTTTTCTGGTGGTTTCTAGTAGCGCAGTAAAGTCGAATTGTTCATCTTCTCCTTCCTTCCTGTCATCTTTTTCTCCTTTGGAAGGTTTTCTCTGGTGCGTTCTTGGGTCTAGTTCGGGGGGCTTGTTTTTTTTTTTTTTGGGGGGGGGGGAGAATTTCAATGATTTCGTTACTATACTCCGCCTATTTATCTTCGTGGAGTGATATTTCGTGACCGTTTTGATATAATACCATATTTGCTCGTGATCCCCTATCTCCGGCGCCTGTAACCTCTGTATTCAGGGATGGTCAAAAGCACCAGAGGGGGATTAGTGTTTTCCCGACACGGTAAATATCAACCCGCTGGATGTATTGGAACTCATTAACTGGTATTCCCAATACTTTTAACCAATGAAGCTAAACATGGCTGCTGATGAAGTGGTGGTGGACGGCAGTTAAGGTGTTGTGGTGCAGCTCTCTCACCGGAGTTGCAAGCTTGCTTCCTATTTGTCACCTCAAGTGCGACCCTCTTTTATCTGTTTACTCCCCACCCGAGAATACTGAACCATGAGCTGTAGTGGGATGCCGTAGAATTTGGAATGAGTGTATTGGAGCGGATAAGTGAGCTTGGTATCATACGAAAGCACTTTCAAAGTTTCCTTTCCGGGATACTTGTATACTGTACGCGAAGGGCTAGTACCGGTAACTTAAGCCAATAGCGCTGGTGGCTCTAATGAAGTAGGGTAAACCTAGCATTGTGGTACTCGTAGTGCCTCGTATTTTGTCGGATTAACCGGTATGATACGAGCGGGGAAGGAGATGGGTTGGTCTTCGCCCAAAAACTTTCTGGATATGCCCTAGTTATTATAATTACCTAAGCCGGACGTTGCGGCTCCGATCTTATCGGTAATTAGCTTCCAATTAATTTTTATTATCCTGGTATCAAATGATAAGTAGCGGACAAGGCTCAAGTGGAAGTTACCCTCCTCAATTTAACCAATTCTGAGCGGGTAAGAGAAAATAATAAATTCCGTATCTGCTCGCCACAATTAATTCACTTCTATTCCCTGGGCAGGGTATCCAACACTTCACAATGTTTATGTCTCGGTTCTTGCCACCGGTTGATCGTGCGATGCGCACACTGGATCGCGCTTTTTTCAGGAAGGTGGTCCCAGTTACTGCTGCGCGGGTACTCGACTCTGCACTGGTTCACACCATCAAGGAGAAGATTCTAAAAGACTTGATCCCCTTCGAAAGGTTCAATCAGAGATACGACTTCAATTCAAAGCTCAATGTCGAAACTCCACTGCTAATTCTACAGCCCCAAGTGAAATACGGTGGTATGGAAGCCTATTATTGTGGTCCTGGTTCTACGGAAGGAGTGTTTTTCTGTTAACGAGAGTATTTTCGACAGATCTCTCAACGGCTTCGGGTCCCACGCAGGAATATGTGAAATCGAAAATACTCGAATTGGTGCCCTATGATCTGAAGTTGGAGTACGGAGATTGGGGTTATGGTATGAGCTCTTCCTCCTCCTCCTTTCCCCCCGCAGAACTTGGCAGCCGTTAACGTAACATGGTCCACAGAGGAAATTATGAAGGCCGTGCTTCCCGAAGATGTCAACCCCCCAAGTATCGATGACTTTCCTCGAATTGGTCCATTATTACACCTGGATGTCCCAGAGCCTCTGCGGGAGTACAGGAATCTTATCGCGGAAGTTATTTGTGACAAAGAGAGAGAGGTGCAGACGGTTTTTGGTGAGCCTGAGAAGGTAGGAGGGGCGTTAGAACTTGGGTTGGCAAACGAAGTTCTGGCGGGTCCTGAAAATTACCGGGTGGAACTCAGTCACCAGGGTTCCAGTTTCACTTTTCACCTCGACCAAGCCGGGTTCCGTGATGTTTATTTCGACACTAAGCTGGCGACTGAGCGGCAGCGTCTTGTGGATACTTTTGGGTTGGGGGAGTGTGTGGCCGATGTTTATTCTGGTGTTGGTGCGCTGAGCGTGGCTGCTGCAAAGCGGGGAGCGATAGTCTTTGCCAATGAGCGGAGGGACAAGGTTTATCAATTGCTCGTTGAGAACCGAAGAAACAACAAGGTGAATTGATTAACATTTGCTAAGCTCTCTTTATGATTGGTTTTGGTGGGTATGGGAGCTCATGCTCTAGGCACTATAGGTCAAGAAAAACCTCTACCTTAAGAGCCAGGCTCCGGCTAGATTCGTCCAACAGCTTGTCCGAAAACTTTTCGAGAAAACAGTGGACTATAAACCCCAGAAAATTAGCAAGCTTGGAAAACTTATCAAAAATCCTCTCAAGAAGGGAGATAAGAACCTCCCCGCCTGCGTTTCTCACATCGTCTTCAGCGACCCTGACCAATCCCTTACACACCTCGAGTGTCTCAGGGGTATATACACGAAGCGAGAGAGACTCTTTGCGAACAGGGGGGGGAGTTTTTGGAAATTAGATTTTCCGTTTGTTCATGTCTACGCCTACCACAAAGCTCCAGCGGAAAAAAAGGCGGATGCGGTAAACGATCTTCTCAAGAAAATCGGCAAGAGGATTGGCCACGACCTGAGACGGGGATGTGTCCAACAGGCGCACTTTGTTAAGAAAGGCTCAGAGGATAACCTTTATTGCATTACATTTAAACTTCCGCCACCTGTGGCATTCGATATTAGAGAGGAAGAACTACATCAAAAACAGCCGGAGATGGTCGACCTCGCCGCCTCGAAGGAAGCCGCGATATCTAAGAGCGATGATAGGCAACCGGGAAGGATATCAGTGCATAGAACATATCTACCTTCCAGAGACCCAGATATCAACAGGTTTGGACCATCAGGAAGGCCGCCATCACAAGTGGAGGGTAGAGAGGAAAAGGGTTTAGAGCCTACCCCCTTCCCTGGAGCGCCTACTCAGATAGCGCCATCGGCAACACCCCCCACTGGTCTACCAGCACACAGCCCCGCAAGTATAACAACCCCTCCAAGGCATCTGGTATATACCCCGTTGGCAAGCTTTCAACCCCGCGATGCCGGATCAGTGGCTACAAAACAATCACAAGGGGCCCCAACGGATAGACCCCCAATGGGTGGAGGGCCTTCGATGACTTCAAATTTAGGATTAATCAAAACCGAATCAGAACTCGCGAAGGAGTTTGCAAAGACCTACAAAGTGCCTCGGGGATTACCCCCCTGGAAACAGAAGGTCCACCGTAAGGAAAAGAAAGCAGCTTGGATGGCGAGGCAAACCAGGAAACAGCAGGAGCAAGCGTATCTAACACAGGGAAGCTTTAATAACCCTCACCGAAACGATAATGGACAACGAGGCCCTGAATACTGGGCCAGCAGCCGAGGTGAGAGGAGGTTCCATTCCGACAATTCTCCCACACAACCAGGATATGGCCCTTACGGATATACAGAATGTGTCGCGGAAAGCGTCGACAGACACTCCGTCTCGCAGCTAGCCGCTGGGTCTAAGGACGATGGCCATGCGAATAGGGAAGAGACAGGACCATCTCGTCCGCTCATTAGATTCCACATCGCCGCTAATAAAACACCCAAAGGGGGTCCAATGATTCGATGGCACCAAGTCGATACTCACCCGAAGATGTTCCGGTAACAGGAGATGCGTTCGTTCAGGAAGGGGGGGAAATGGTTCGACGTCAGTTTTTGCAGGCGAGTTTTGCGGAAATGGGGGCTTTCTGGGGGCTACTAGTTGAGGTTTTGAACTGGAAAAGGTCCTCACGCGGGAGGACCTTTTTTTGTTACTTTATTCTGCTTTGGCTTTATCTTTTTCGCTCTTTGAATTGTAATGCACTTTTATGCATCTGCATCTGCGTCTGTATATAGACAGAATCTCATCCCATCATCACAGACCCAGATCTGGGTTTTTCCTCCCGAGAAAACCTTCTCTAGTACCAAACATCCCAGACTGATGGGGATGCGATATGACACAATGCCATCATTCCATCCCAGGGAAACCGAGCCCTCCTTAGCTCCTACAGAAGAGTAGGCACAAAAATTTCCCCTGTTTTCTCAAGAAAACCCGGGCCCTCTTTCGCCCACGGCACGCCGGGTTGGGCCGAATTTGTACTGTACTGTATCATACAATGGGATACCCAACTATCTTATCGTAAATCCGGGACGGGACATCTCGAAACTCCTACTCATAGCTGTCGTCATCCGGGAATTCCGAGAAATATCTGATTCGTAGACAAGCTAATACATGGTATTGCGGTACCTTTCTCAGCCCCCAGTTTGTTTCCCTCCGAGCTAGGGAGGTGTTTTATGGTAGACATGATAAAGTGCTGTGCACCACGATATCATCCCATCACAGTACAGTACTCTTTTCCAACTCCCGCGGTGTAGAAGAAAACAAAGTGTGCAAGTCTCACCACCGTGGTGATTGGTAACTATTCCGGCCGTTGGGAAAAAGGAAGAAAAAGAAAGAAAAGAGAAATCGAACGTTTGACGCCGCTAGCCGGGCATTGCTTCCTGTGGGGGCTGGATTTGGGGAGCGTGGAAGGCGTGGTGGGTTCGAGGAGAGTATGGATGCAAGAAATTGGAGGGATAGAATGGTCTCTGCTGGTGGGAGGGCAAAGTGATATAGCTCGTGAGTTAGGTTCGAGTATGCGCAGGTGCCGGTGCCGATTATGCCTTGATGCTCCGGTTAGATTTCCGGCGCCGTGTTACGTTCATCAATCGCTCTGCGTCTACCAATGCGAAAATAATGTTCGGTATGATGGGTGCTCTTAATTTACACCGTCCTTTGTAGAAATACTTGGCAGTGGATAAGAGGTGGTGAGGCTATCATACTTGGAAATGGAGAAAAAGAGAGGTTTTCGAGACATTGGGGGCAACGTTTTGCCTCTTCTCCATATCTGGGAGAAAGGTGGTATTTAGTTTGGTAGAGTATTGGTAAATATGAAGTTGGTGGAGTCGTGGGATTGATTATAAGTTTTTTTCTTTTTCTTCAGTGATAGTAAAGTACCGGTACAGTACTGTACAGTAGAGGGACAAAACTTTTCGCCTGGCACGGCAACGGCAACCCCAATACCGTTATACAGGTGGGACCATAAAAGTAACGGGGCACGAGCGGTTTTACACCAAGAATGGCAGGTTTCACAACAAGATATTACTACAGAGAAAATTCACAAAAATACAAACTCTCCCTAGAACAATTGAAAACAGTAATAAGAACATTTTCTATATACAGATATCTGCTCATTTTGCAGATCCTCAAGAATGGAATGCTATTAAACTTTCAAATTTTGCCAAGACACAGTTTTCCCCCCAAAATCAATGGTCTTGGCATGATTTTGAAGAAAGTTTTGTTACCTTTTACTACTACTCTTCAGAGAACTTAAATTCCCTGAAAGTTACAATAGAGGCCAAGTAGTCTACATCTTTTCTGAGGACTATGAAGTTATGCTATCTTTAATTCAAGTATTTGTGGCTGAATAAGTGTGTGGAATTGGCCATTTGTGGTATAAAATCACTTGTAACCCATTACTTCGATGGGCCCACTTGTAGATTTATTGCCTATGCAATTACAATGGTTGTAGTAAACTAGAGATATAGGTATATATCCATTAAACATAGGAAAATCTTCATGTGAAATTGCAGAGAAAAAAAAAAGTCAATACTTAGTATACCATTCCTTTACAAATAAAATAGTAGCCACTTTCCTAGGCATAGACTTCTACAAATTTTTCAAGAGTTCCCACACAATATTCTGAGTCCAAACAACATTTAGAGCTTCTGCTAAACATCTCCTAATAGTATCTAGCCCTCTCTTAGTCTTGTGAATGTCAGGAAAGCACTGATGTAGCTTTTTCTTTAACCTCTTCTAATAGTACTTAATTGTTTTAAAATCTGCTGAATTGTAGGGCCATTTCTAGGCTTTGTTACAGGGCCCTATTTCTCAGGAGCGTGGACAAAATAACCTCGGTTAATCTCATTAACTGGGTAAAAAGATCAGCCAAATCAGACCAAAACTGACAGAGATAGTGCTATTTAAAGTTGTTGAACTTCAAAGAGCTATAACTCACTCAGTTTTGGTCCGATTTGTTTGTTTTTTTCTTTTTTTTTTCTCTTTTTAACTTGAAGTTAATAGCCTGCTCTTGGCGCCCCAATTGTAGAAAACAGGGTCCCATAACGAATGCTAGCTATTTCATAACTGGTACGGTGAAACCTCTGATAATTCCAGTAGGTAGGGAGTGGCAAAAAGCTGGAAATAAGGTGAGGATAGAAACTGGAGGGGTGTCTTGGCAGAGGGGAGGGCTTGACATAACTGTCTAAATTGAGTGATATCCCATGATGGCGAAGAAAACAGAAAGATTTGCATAGAACTTGGACATAATTTACAAAAAACTGAGTAAAGAGTATAAATTAAAAAAAAAAAAAAGAGCATGCCTAGTTAGACAAAACTAAAGACTATTTTTGACCATGAAGTATGATAAAAGACAGCTTTGGACAGTGGTTTCCCAAAGTTTTTGGACTCTCCAGGTCTGCTCCAACATCTACAATGGTTCAATAGCCCTCAATACCGTACTATTAACTTCTTCATACTCCAATAGCCTCTGAATCAGTCCCTGAGTTACCATAAATGCCTCCTGATTAGATATTACTAATTTAGAGATTCCTGTCTCCTCATCAGATTCATTCTCCTCTACTCTTTCTTGATTTTGAATCTCTATTACAATGTCTCTAGTTTCCTTATGATAAACTATAGCAATGCTTTCCTCATCAGTTAACTCACCAGTGACTTGCTTTTTAGATTCTGTATTGAGAAAATAATAAATGGATATAGGATTGTGTACCTGTAGGGTTTTAAAATTGTGCTCAAGAGAGTGGGCAAGTTGTTCTGCTTAAACAAAATATAAGTGAAGGGAAGATTTATTTGAGCTAAATTGGATTAATATACTTCTTCTTGACAATCAGGAGCAAGAAAAAACTGGTCAGAATACTATAGAAGAAGCTCTTGATGCTGTTGGTAAAGGTCAGAACTTGGGCCAATAGTAGAAAAAGAATTACTGAGACGTTCCACTGGTAGGCTAGGTTCAAACGTACTTGTGAGTCTGACATGTTTCTAACAATTCTCAATCATAGATGGAGTAATCAGATTTCAGGCAATTTTGGCCATCTCCATAGCCTTGAGCTGTGAGATTTTGAAGGGATTTGCAGTGACATTTTCTTCATTCCTAAGAATTGCCAATTGAAGAAACTGGTAGTGGTAATAGGCTTTGAATGTTGGTATAATACCAGTATTAAGAGGCTGCAGCTGGGCCGTAGTATTAGGAGGAAGAAACTCAAGTCGAGTGACTTCGAGATCAAATTCAGACTTTAGATGTGAGGCACAATTGTCAACCAGTAGAATAACTTAGTGGTTTTGCCTTTCCATCTCTTTATTAAACTTCTAAAGCCAGTCTAATCAAATCACTCCTGTCATTCAAGCTTTTTTATTGTTATAATAGAAATTATAACCTAGATGGCTAGCAGGCTACTTTTTAAAGTAGTATGTGCAGTGGGCATGGCCAATAATTAGAGGTTCTTGTTTGTCGGTACCACTTATATTGACACTAAAGCCATAAGTGAGCCGAGTCTTATCTTCTTTCCTTTCATGAGCTTCCTGTGTCGCAAGACCAATTGAAGATAGAATTCGATAAAGCAATCCTGTTTTTTCAAAATTGTAGCGGTTCTCTTCAGAGTAATCGTTACAGCCAGCATTAATTTCATCGATTCGATCAATATGCTCAGCCAGCTTAACTGAGTTTGACTCGCCATAAAATTGTCTCTGTTGTAGTCTGGTACACTGCTTGAACTTAGCAATCTACTCATAGCTCTATTTTAGGTGCTCTGGCTCTAGAATAATTTCAAGCTCATAAAACCTCTTTGCTTTAGCTTAAATAAGGTCCTCTGTAAGCATAATCCCTAAAGCCCATTCCACTAGGTTAACACTACAACTATATTAAAGGTACTGCTGTAAAAGCTCAGGTATAATAAACTTGCACAGCTTATAGGATATATTAATACCTTTTCCTTCACATTGAAGAATTCATAATCTTAACATTTCTTCTATTTGAGGAAGTTTAACCAGAGCAGCTCTCCTCTGCCTAGACTCATTTCTGTCAATTTGGCACAATGGTCGTAACCCTTTGTTAAGATGTTAATAATGGTCTTGCTACTAATATAATATGCTTCAGCTAGAGAGGAATTCGAAGAAGTTTTAGATCTGGTTTGAGGAAATTTATGTTGATAGAGCTGAAACTTTGCCTGATTTGTCAAGTTTTGATACTTGCGTCACTGATGTTGCTCTCAATTCACTTATTATTGAACTCGACTAACCTGTTGGCAGGCTATTTTGCTTGGAGAGTTTAATAGTCACGGTGTTGATCTTTACTCACTACCCTCATGACTGTTTTATTCCTCTGAATCCTCCTCAAAATCTCTGTCAACCTTCATGCAAACTGGGGTTGTTTGTCTTCTTCTCTTTCTTCCATCTTTTTCCTGCTCTTTTTTTTATTTTTTAAGCCAATTTTCACACTTACTTTTCCCAGATAGGCGTTTGATGTGTTGAGTGGAGGAATGCGTGGCTGCACGGAAGATGTGGAGCGGGAG